GCCCAAAAACTCTTTGACAACTTCTTCTCAGCAACCATACACCTTGCCATCTCTATAACAGACATGTTCTTCCTCTCACTAACTCCATTTTTTTATGGAGTGTAGGGGCTGCTATACTGATGTCTAATTCCAGCTTCCTTGCAAATTTGCTCAAACTCTTGAGAAGTGTATTAAATACCATTGTCACTTCTCAAGGTTTTAATAGTTTTTCTTGTTTGCTTTTCCACCAACTGCTTGAATTTCTTAAACACACCAGCTACCTCACTTTTTTGCTTCAAAAAATACACGTAACACATTCTGGACCAGTCATCAATAAAACACACAAAGTACCTACTTCCACTCAATGATAAAAGTTTCCATAGGTCCACACACATCTAAGTGAATGAGCTAAAGTTTTTCAGTAGCTCTCCAGGACTGGTTTATGAGAAAGGGTTGCCTACTCAACTTACCAATTTGACAAGTAGGGCATATAGCCTTGGTTTCTTCAATTTCGGGTAGATTCTGGACCAATTTTTTGGTATGAATTCCTTTAAGGCCATGGTAATGGAAATGACCAAATCTCTTATGCTATTTTTCAAACTCATCTACCCTAGCATTATAGGCTCTAACTTCTGATTTTTCCCACTTAATAGGGAAGCTCTTTCCCACCATTTTTACCCTCATGAGTTCACAACCTTCACTGTCCAGGATTTGACAGGTTTGGTTTTGAAAATGCAAGACATAATTCTTCTCCAACATTTGTCCTACACTAAGGAGACTTTGACTAATTTCAGGTGCCTAAAGTACATTAGTATTAATTTTTCTACCTGTTGGTGTCTGGACAACAACATTTCCCTTTCCTTTTGCTTCCACAAACTCACCATTTCCTGCTTTGATTCTAGATCGATATGTATGATTCAATTTGAGAAAGTTTTGCAGGTCTAGTGTCATGTGGTTTGTACATCCATTTTTAATCAGCCAGCCTTCATTGCTTGTCTGTGTTGCACTGCAAGAAGCTACAAATAGCTACTCTGTCCCCTGTTCTGGTTGTTGATCATCAGTCACTTGAGCTTGCTATTGGGACTACTCTCCTTTGTTCTTGCATACACTCTCTATATGGCCAAACTGCTTGTAGGCCATACATTATATCCTTAGCCTAAACTATCACCTCTTCTTAGAATGACCTTTCTTTTTGCAGCGAGAGCAAGGTGGATACTCTTTCATCCCACCTGGTTTTCCCCACTGACCATTACTCTTTTCTTTCCCCTTTTTGTCATCGGCATATTTCATATTGTTCCTTTGTGCATACTTGCTTTTGTGAGTTGCCATCATTGCACCCTCACTTGCATCTTCTTGCCTCAAGAGCCTTCCTTGCTCTTGTGCTTGCAATGCCTGGACCAACTCAGTATGAGTGATCTGTGACATATCCTTTGAGTCCTCAAGAGAGGAAATTTTGGACTCAAACCTCTTAGGCAAGATCACCAAAACCTTCTCCACAATTCTTCTATATGTCAACTCCACTCCAAACAACCTGATTTTGTTGACTACACTCATCAGCTTGTCAACATACTCCTTCACATTCTCAGATTCTTGCATCCTCAACATCTCAAACTCCCTTCTTAGATTCAGCACCTGTATATTCCTTGTAGTGTCACTTCCCATGAATTCCTCTCTCAATTTGTCCCAAGCCTCTTGTACAGTTTCACATGTCATTATCCTTGTGAATACAAGGTCTGTTATAGCAGCATGGATGTGGGACAAGGCTCTCGGAGCCTTAGCATCTTCTTCTTCATAAATTCATATCTGATTCAGAGTTGGATTTGGTCTTAGCTGTGTTGGTTGCCTATTCTCTTCTACATACTGCCACAACCCTTGGCCCTGAAGGAAAGCCTTCATTTTGATAGCCCACATGTGATATTATTCACCATTAAAGACCGGAGGTGACATCAAGGCTGATTGAGCAGCCATCGGTTTAGGTAAGAAGTTTGAAGTAGAAGATGTATAAAGTCTGAAACAGAGGAGTTCTTGAGATGAGATGAAGGATTGAACGTGGGAGGGAGAGATTTGATGTTTTCTAGTATGGCTCTGATACCATTTGTAGCTATTTTGGCTGGAGAATTCTAAGGAAAGAAAGAGAAACATGTTCTGAGAGAAAGTTTTGCATTTTCATTCATTTCACTATAGATTTACACAACAAAACATCAGTCCAAAATATCCACTGTTACACCAACTTTGTAGGGATATTTACAAATTTGAAATTTAAACTAAAGTTTACAACTAAGGGCATCTCCAACCCACGCCAAAGCGCCACGCCATTTTGGTGTGGCGCTACAGTGCTGCACCAAATTTTGTAGCCCATTAATTTTTTAATTTTTTTTTTTAATTTTGTTAAGTTAATTTGAGTATTAAATTTTACACCAAAAATCACACCAAATTTGATTATTTGTATTTAATTTGATTTGATTATTATTTACAATAACAAATTTATAATAATGATATATTTCAAAAAATGATGAAAAATTAAAAATAAAATTTTATTCAATGCAAATATTAAACTACAATAACTCAAAATAAAAATTAACACTAATTTAAAAAGTAAAAACACTAAAATTAAAAGAAAATACAACATAAACTAAAATAACAATTTAGTATTCCGGTAGATTAGTTCCAAATCCAGTAAGATCATCAAAATATCAAAATATTGAAAAGAACTTTTAAATAACAAATTTTTTTTTTTTTTGGTATCATTTTATATTAGAAGTAATGTTTTTCTATATTAAATGTAATGTTTATTTGATTAAATAAATGCTTAATTTTATTAAATTAGTATAATTTTCAAAATAATTATTATTTAATAAAAAAATCAATCTCAATATTTAATTAATATATACAAAAATAATGAGTGAAATTGATTAATTGTTGATTATTACAATAAAAAAAAAAGAATATTCTAAATAATATTCTAAGGAATATTCTTTTTGATGTAATATTTGGTGCAGTAGATTCGAGATGGAATAGTGTTTTACACCAAAATTTGCATCAATTTGGTGCAATGGGTTGGAGATAGACCATCTCCAACCACAAACACCAAATTAGTGCAAGTTTCACACCAAATTGGTGTGATTTTTAGTATACTTCACTATTGCATCTCCAATCCATTGCACCAAATATTACACCAAAAATAATATTCCTTAGAATATTCTTTTTCTTTTTCTTTCTATTAATAATCAACAATTAATATATTTCACTAATTATTTTTGTATGTATTAAGTAAATATTGGGAATGATATTTTTATTAAATAATAATAACTTTGAAAATTATACTAATTTAATAAAATTAAGCATTTATTTAATCAAATAAACATTACATTTAATATTTAAAAAAATTACATCTAATATAAAATGCCACAAAAAAAATAAAAAATAAAAAATAAGACATCAACACAAAAGTAAAATTCTATATTGATAGAAATTTTATTTTCTGAATTAGTATATTCTTCCCACAAATGATCAATTAATGCATTTCAAAGAGCATGGTGAGCCTCTGTATCCTTGATATGTCTATGTCGAGCAAGTAAATTTTGAAATCGGATTTGAATTCTATAACCGATCCAAGCTTGCATGAGTTTTTTCAACATGAGCAATCAAGAATTATGCAAAAAAGAGCTCAACAACAAGGTCAAAGATCCCAAAATAGCTATAGTTCTTGCCAATATTTTGATGAACTTAGAGGATCCAGAACTAATCTACCGGAATATTAAATTGTCATTTTAGTTTATGTTGTATTTCCTTTTAATTTTAGTGTTTTTAAATTAGTGTTAATTTTTATTTTGACTTATTGTAGTTTAATATTTGCATTGAATAAAGTTTTGTTTTTAATTTTTCATCATTTTTTGAATTATATAATTATTATGAATTTATCATTATAAATAATAATATAAATGATAATCAAATTAACATAAATACAAATAACAAAAATAAGAAAATAAATATATTTTATAGTAGATGAATAGTATCACACCAAATTGGTGTGGATGAATAGTATTATACCAAATTTGACATGATACTGTTCACTTATACCAATTTAGTGTAGTTAATAGCGTTGGATTGGAGATGCTCTAACACAGATCTTAATCATAGCAGAGGACACCTAAAGACATCAACTTCAGCAGCCCACACACGGCAGAATGCAACTAAAAAACAGAGTTCTTTGGCGCCAAAGAGTTTTTTAAAACCAAACTAAATTTCAGTTACATTTTAGAAAAATATAACTGTTTCAACAATTTATATGGGATATGTAATATTAGTTTGGTCCAATCAGAAAAGCTGACTTACACATGGCATGCTGAAAACTTGTGCAGTGAAACTATAATTGGGATCAAATAATTGAAAAAAAAAAAAAAAAAAAAAGAACGGAAAAAGAAGGCAAACTGTGGCCCATTAATAGATGAGATGGTGGTAGCTTTAAGATGATGAGACTGGTGGTGTCATTTATGGCAGCTGGAGTTGTCAGGGCCAGGAGCTTTTTATAGTTGAAGAATTGGTTGTTTATGAATTATGATATTGATGCACAGTAGGTGGAGAATTAACCCTTACAACATCTTGTGTAAACGCTCAAATAACATTGTCAAAAAAACACATGTAGTTATGATTAGACCAGAAAAGAAAATGCTTCATAAATAGCTACCAAAAGCCACTTTATATCAACTTCAGTTCAATTTTGTACTCTAGAATTACGTAGAATGCTTCATTTCATTGAACATTCACTTCATATAACAACATATCTGCTCTTGTTTCTTGTAACCCCCCATCAGAATTTGTGATAGAATCACAAAATAATGGTGGTGGTGGGTTTTATAGAAACAGGCTAATCTTGTATATACACTTCAATATAAAGAAAAAAAGGACAAAGACCAATACTTTACAAGAATATATGACGAATCCTACTTCCTTGTAGTATACAATTAGCCTTGTTCTTCTTCTCCTTCCATTTCCCAAATATCTAACTTAAAGACTTTTATTACAAGTCCAGGTTTGGGTTCCCAACTAGCACCGCTTGCCCTTCCTGCAATTAAGTGAACCAGCTCCGGATGTGAGTGAACTTACTAGATTAGATGGTCTGGCTCCTAAACTTGATGCCTTGGCGTAACTGGAAGACGTTGCGCCCCCAGACGGTGTGAAGAAAGCTCCATTTAACATCAAGTCTCCTTCTGACCTCCAATTCCAGTTCTTCCAGTCACTCTGTGGCGCATCCTCATGCTTAGTGATCTGAAAGAATGTTATGTATACTTGTTTTAGTGTTCTAATTGTCCACAGTTAATAAAAAAATAATAGATCATTTTGTAGACTGATCACCTCTTTGCTGTCTATGTTATCAGGAGCAAGAAATCTATTGCCTTGGCTGTTAATTGTAGGAGAAGCACTGCCGCCAAGCGCATACATTTCCCAATGGGTGTAGTCATTGTTCACTACATGAAAATACCCATGTCGACATCTGCAATTAAATATCGTTGAAAAAGTTAAGATCCAAAGACCCATCAAATTAATAAATGATTAGGCCTCAAATTTTATCAATTGAAAAAGATTTTACCTTGGCATTCTTTGAACAAGCCCCTCTCCAAAATGATTAAATGCAATGGTGACTTGCATGTTCTTGTCCTGAGTATAGGTATCACTGTGGCCCAAGAGCATGACCTTGTTATGGTGGGTCATGTAATTGTTAGAGATTGTAATAGCCGTGGATCCATGAATAGCATCAATCAAGCCGTCATTACAATTAGACAGAGAGCAATGATCCACCCAAACATGGCTTCCTCCAAAAATTGACACCCCATCACCGTCCGATATAGTCCTCCACCCATAATGGCTTGGAGAATCCCGCACATGCGCATTTCCACCTTGCTTACAATCGTGTATATTCAGGCCATGAATTATAATATTAGTCACGTACTGTATAGTAATGCATGGACCCCCTGCAATGTGCACGCTAGCACCTCGACCGTCGATGGTCTTGAAGGAATTCATGATCAGCTCTTCCTTCAATCTGATCACCATGTCACTTGCAAAAATGATCCATAAAGGCTCTTCTTGAATAACAGCATGCCTAAGAGTACCTGGTTTGGGGTTCACAGGGTCATAGTCACCTACGTCTGTAACAACATATATTTTACCATCCCTGCCGCCAATGGCATGCTTGCCAAACCCAATTGCGCAATCGGCTAGCCGCTGGCGGTTCTTTTCCCAGTTGGGGTCACACCGCCAGCAGTCGTCGATCGGATTGCCAGTTCCACAAGAGAGAAAGCCTAGCTTCCTCCTAGAGGCATTGATGCTCCTGCAACAGATACATGCACACGATTTAAGTAAAAGCACATGCATACATGCGATGCATTGCTAGCTAGCATTATAATTATAGCAAATACATATAGTTTCACTGAATTATAATATATTTCATACTTGTGTACTTCTTCTACTACAAGTTCAGGATCCTGAACCGGAGAAGAGGAAATGAAGGTTGGAACAATCAGGAGGCACAAAAGCAATGAAAGAGAGAGTGGAATTGTCATCGTCTCTATCTTTTTTTCTGTTAGTAAAGAGAAGTAAGAGAAGAAAACAAAGGAAATTTGTGAGAAGGGTGAGAGTAGGAGTGGGGTTTATAAAGGAAATAAAGTATGTAATTGATGTTGATCTAATTAATATAAAAATTTGGCCATTCGGGGCCACCTGCTCCTTCATTTCTTGTTTAAATGACCCAGAGTGGTAGTTCATTTGGGTCGTTAGCTCCTCCTCAGTCGTCCCTCTCAAAGAACAGTAAACTAATCACCCATATACCATTGATACACGCCAAGGATTAAGAGTGTACATATACACATTAAGCTGGTGCGTATGTCATTAGCTAAAGATTATTAACAACAAAAAAAAATATCATTATAGATGGAGTGCTGGTGTTGAATTAGTGAGAAAATGTACTGTGAGCATTTAACAAAACACCGACACCTTCCATGAAAGAGAATTGACATATATGTCGGTGTTATGTGGAAATAGAAACAAAAATGAAAAAACCCTTCTTTTCTTTCTCCATCAAAACTCCTTTTACATGCAATTTCGTCTTTGAAAATGTAAAAGTTTGATTAAATTACTTGAAACATGGCTTTGGTTTTTCATTCAAGATTACCATTGATCCTGATGTGGTTTGCCCATTCTTTGCTTAATAATGAATCATTGAAAGCATCCGAATATGCCAATTCCCACTAGTGCCCAAAATGCAGAGTCTCTCAGTTGAAACCACTTCATGGAGCAGACAATTCTGATCCAAGATTTGTTTATATTCAATTCAGGAAAGTCCTTAAAATTCTTTTAAATTTGGATTCGAACCACTTTCTCAACTTATTAAATTTTACAGCTGATGAATAAGGATGGCCAATCTGCCAGAAATAATTGATTGTAGACATGTATATCATGTTCTACTGATCTATCTCACCATTAAAACCTTATTCAAAACTCTTCTTTTCTTACGAACCATTAAAAGAATCAACATTTATTCACTGTGCCTCACTTCACTTTTCAAGTAACTAATTGTGTTACTCTAACAGTAAGATTCATTAAAAGGCTTATATATATATATATATATATATATATATATATATACACTGTATATGAAAAGCACGTATGCAGATCTCGCGGGAACTTGAACCCAGAAAAACAGAATGCAGGACGTGGAGCTATGCCGATTTCTCAATTCTCATGGTTACACCTATTAACATTAATTTTTTCTTTTGAAAATCTGAGAACTTGTAGAAGCTTTAAGATTGAATGCCCACATGGGAAGTCGGTACTGTGCGCTAGATTGATGACGTGGAGATTTTTATCTTGGAATGGCACGTTCTCCCATGTGAGTTTTGTTCCCTTAGAGTCTTGCCTAATAGGCCCTACAAAATTGACCCTCAATGCCCTCATCTGAGAATTCTGAGCCGGTGATCTCTGGAATTCATCAAATTCAATTAAACCCAGTCGACCATGGTGAGTTCATTTTCAGCCAATAGTTTGATAATGTATATGAGCCATTAATTTGACAGAAGCTACATGGTCATGCCTGCAAATCATAACATAACATGCACCACGCCAAATGCTGTTGCAGCATTATTATTTGTCTAACTTGGTGGATAAGACGATCATCATCATCATCATCATATACAATTAAGTTCTTTCTTGACCTTTGCTTACCCAGAATTTCTTGCATGTTTTGTGGAAATTGGGCCGTTTCTAAATTAAGTACACCTCTACCAACTGTTCATAAGGGACATTAGTCAAATTAAAACTTAATGATCGATCAAGCAACAACTCTCACCGACACTTCTCTGCAACCAAGTAGTATATATTAATTAGACTTCTGAGTTCATCAGTACAGTGTGACATTTATGATAAAGCATGTGATTCAGAGGGGCGCAGAAAGGGCAATGGGGAAAATTTGTAAACGATAGTGATTGTAATTTAAGAGGGCAATGTGTGATCAGGTGCATATTCACCAATAATTAATCAAAACCCTAAATAGGGTATATAGTTGAGCTTATCCAGCATACATATCAGTAAACATTATGGATAGTGATTGTGTAGCCACCAGACCAGTATCTAGTGAATACCCCAAAATAAGACATCAGAACTTCTCCTCCAACCAACATAAATTATCAGTTGGTTGGGCAGACAGTTTTATAAAATTGTTAAGTGATCAACTCATTGAAACAATAATTGAATGAAACTGTTAGTGGTTAATTGTTCATTCCACTTTCGGAATCATTGAACAAAGTTGAGGGAAATGTGATTGTGTTAGGTTCCAGATTAAGCTTATCCTCAATAGAGAAAACATTGCTTAATGTTTTTTAAATTTGAAGTTAATACCATAAATATAAATTTGTGAAACAATTAATATTTGTCTAGTACGATACCACAAATACAGGCAGGCAAATTAATAAGCAAGGAAGTCTGATAATTTAGAGACAAGGGGAGGTAAAAAAAACATCACATATGGGGGCTGAGAAAGCCATGTGGTTTGCTAAAATTTGATGCTGACTGATCCTCCATCTCATTTTCTGCGTATTCATTCATTCTCATCCATCAACAAATCAACTTCCCCTTTACTGCCATGATCAGCGGGCGCCATTGAAATGAGAAACTTTGTAAGGGCGCCAGCGCCATGTTCTTTTCTGAGTTAAAGTGGGCTCCTCCTCCCAACTTTTTAATCTTCTTTTCTGATCCGATCATGCTACCAACGTCGTTTGTTTTTACTTGATTATGAAAGAGAGAATCCAGGTCTGATATGGCGAATGATGATGAAAAATTTCACTTAATGATCCATCCAATGAAGACAGTTCACAACAAAAATCCAAGAAAAATGATAACGGCATCATTTATTTATCCACGACAAAAAGAAGAGAGTTGAAACTTGAAACAGACTGTGAAGTATGCGATGACCGCTCATCACAAAATCTTCATACATAGGTTTGATATTCAGCTTTTCTTTACTTCATTGGTAGCATGCAGCAGCAGGAATCCACTAAGAATTTGTAACACATCATTGTAATCATGAAGAGATATAAAGAGAAATCGACTCATTCAATGATTGGATCATGTGCTAGGTTTCCTCTGTTCTTCTCTTTCATTATTATTTGGTAAAGTAATGGAATTTTATATATAATTAAAATCCTCAAACTCGCATTATGATATTGTGGATGTGGACTAATTTATGATTACCCTCTTAATGTTGCCTCATAATTCAATCTGGATTTCTCACTTGGAAGATAATATAATCTAAAATAGTAATCTCACTTTCTCATTATATTGTTTTTTATTGGTAATTTTTGACATTTTATTCAAAGATAAAACTAGGTAGTCTAAAGTAAACGAGATGTAAGGTTGAACAATGCTATCTAAAATGGAAATGATTTTGATTAGATAAAGGAACGGTCGTTCCTTCTTAGAGAACGGTGGTAGAAGAAGAAGAAGAAGAAGAAGAGAAACGATTGTTCCTTTTTAGGGAACGGTGGTAGAAGAAGAAGAAGAAGAAGTGACAATGCTAATCTGCTAACACATTAGAATTATAAGAGAGGTTTGTGAGAATGAAGAAGTGACAATGCTAATCTGCTAACACATTAGAATTATAAGAGAGGTTTGTGAGAATAGGTTGTTAATGTAGCATTACTCTGTTAGGTTTATACGAAAAGCATTTGTTTATATAAATTTAATGCCTACCAAAAAAAAAAAAAGTCTATTTTTTTTAATAAGCAAGGGTATTCAAGTCAACTTATGCGTACTTCAAGTCTTCAACTAATATCTCGGCATCTTAAAACCCTAATTAGTAAATAAAGGTACAAAAAAAAAAAAAGGTACGAAAATTTTATGAGTATGATATAGGAAATGATGAAAAATACGTTTGTAAAAATTCAGCCATAAAATTCTGATACAGGAAAAATATGGTACGGGTTTAATACAATATATTATCAATAATATGTTTTAAAAAATACAACAATATTAATTTTGATTTATATTTTTTATGATCATTGAATTAATTTTTTTTTGTTTTTTCATAGGTGTATGATTTATATATTTTTTTTAATTATAATATTTTAGTTTATAAAAAATTAAATTATTTAATTTATAATTAATTACTATAAATATGATAGAAATAGACTAATTATTAAATAAAACAAACAATTTTATTTATCTTTTAAGTTAAAGAAGAAAGACCATGAGTGGTACTTGTTGGAGAATAGTTGAAAAAGAAGAGAGGTACAGGCGCAAAAAAAGAGAAGATGAGCGGGAGAAGGCACAAGAAAAGAGAAGAAGAGGGCGAAAAAGAAAAAAGGAGAGAGGAAGAGGGCACAGGAAAGAGAAGAGAAGAGGAAGAGGGCGCCAAAAGAGACTACGTCGTTTTAACTGGAAAGAGGCTAAGCCTAAAATGATGTGTCCAAATTTTACCCAGAACAACGTGTTTTGACTTATTAAATAACAAAATTTTATTTTAAAAAACATGATCGAATTATTGTGTATAATTTAACTGTACTTATAAAATAAGAGAATTTACATTTTATATGTAAATTATATGATTTGAACGTATATAAAATATGAATTTACTAATTAGACTTAAAATTATTAACCAAATAAAAAATTTGATAACTACTTCTATTAATATTTAAAGAGAGACTCAAACTAAAGCGCGAATAATACACCATTGTTCTCCAGTCGGAACGTAATTAAGTATTAATGGGTCAAAAGGCGCCCACACAGTAAAGCTAAACTGGGCCAAGACAATTTGCCGAAAATTTTTACTTTCGTCCGGGTCATAGTACAGAAACTCATAAAGTTGTATACTGCACGTTTTGTTTTGAATGGGTTAACGATGAAAACGTGTATGAGAAGGTAAGGTAAGGTAACGATGAAGACGAAATGAAGAGAGTTTGGTATTGGTAATTATTTATTCTTTTATTTTGTACACTTCACATCAGCTAATTAAAGACAAAGGCATGCACATGCATTAATGTCTATTTGTCTTAAACCAGTTTAATTCATTAATTGATTTTTGGTTATGCTCTTTCCCGACTCCAAAGGAATGAAATAGCTTTTCTTATATCTATAGCAAGCTACCCTGAATAATTTTTCATACTTTTATTTAACTTCACTGAATCAGGGAAGAGAATGCAAACTGAAAGAAGAGGTGGAAATGCCTGTGCTCATGTCATGTAGGGCCGAGTACGTATCATCTCAGCTATCTTTTCATTTTCAACACTTAATAACTTAAAGCTTTTTGTTTATCAAGATAATTTAAATAAATTTATATCAGATGCAGAAATATGGGCCATTATGTTATGTGACGTACCCGCTTCTGCTCTTTTTTCTTTCTTTCTTTCGAGTGATGGTAAAATTTCATCCTTGACATCATTAATCATAATTTCTGTCAATTTTCTTGTTTACCAGTTGAAGAGTTCCTCGTTGGAAAATGCTTGTATATACGTAAATCTCTCCTAATCTGACAAAAGTTTTTCCCAACTTTGGCTTGCATAGTAATTGAAAGCTGTATTTCAAACGTGCTTATAATTATTTAATGTTTTTAACTTCTTTTATGTAAATAATTTACGCGTTAGATTTAAGGTTTATTACTTGCATGTTGATAAATGAGTACATGTATTAGTTTGTGATATTCTTCCTTTTCTTTCGAGGTTTAATCTGAGTGGTTAATATTCTTGAATGGTGATGTAATTTAATTTAATTTGAATACAGTTTGATAACTTACATATGGACGGTACTCCCTCCCTGATAGGATAATGAGGGAAACGGTAGTTGTTTGTGGTTATGGAGATGTGGTCAAGGGCTGTACCACTGCTCTCAAACGTTTCGTGCAGATGCTTTAGTTGTGGTTACAGAGATTGATCCCATTTTTGCTCTCCACGCCTTATATGTAGGGCATTCCTGTCTTAACATTTGATGATGTTGTCTCCGAAGCAGACATAACCATTGATTCCTCATGGAAAAGATGAAGAACAATGCCATTGGTAGTAACATTAGCCATTTTGAAAATGAAATTATCATACAAGGTCTTGACAAGTACCAGACATTGAAAGAATCAATATTAAGCCCGGACAAACAAATGGATCTTCCCAGAAGTAAACACTGGCCTCATTGTTCTTGCTGAGGGCCAGCCAGCTTATTAACTTGGGTTGCGTCATAGGCCACCACCTTAAATTTGTCATGTCAATGTCCTTGTGAATGTTTTCATGGAGCAGTGGAAGGAAAAGTACACAACAAGTATGAGAAGAAGGTTTATATTCATAAAATTAAGCTTGGCATATTCTAGGCTGTATGTATGCCTACATATGAAGTCAACTATTTTTCAGATATTATTAAGAGAATTCTATTTGTGATTTGCTAGTTTTGGATTATGCTAGATTATTTTGCAATTTCTATTGACGTGATGGGATTTATCATTTATATAATATTTTTTTCATGGTGTACAGCTCTTTCCTAATGAAACCGTGACTAGAACTATAAAATACTAAGCAATGAGAGTGTCCTGCAAGTGTATGTCAACGTATTTTCTCTATTGTTTTACTGTTTTGATTTCAGAGAGTGCTGAGAAAGGGTAAGGGCACTTGGAATTTGGTCGGGACCTACAATGTATGATTCAATGCTCATCCATCAACATCGAATGTACGTATTTAGATTCAGTGTTGCTTCTATTACAGAAAAGAGAAGAAAGAGGTAAGAAAAACATTACATTTCTACATGTTTCTAAATCAATCTTACTAATTGGTACGGACAACTCAGAGGAGGTAATTCCAACATTGGTGGAGGGAGAGGCAAGACTCAGGAGGCAAACGCAGAGGCAACTTAGAGACAACAATGTCATGAACGGTTTAAGTTTTTGAGCATCTATTAACGGGAACTACCAAAGCCTCCAAGGTAAAATACTGGCTGAAACATGAAAGGTATTAAACCTGAAAACATCAGGTCCACATATATTCCAATGGTAGGCCAAATAATTGGCCTCACGTGGATAATGGTCCACACCAATGGAACAAATAAGACCACTAAATCCATGAATGAAATTAAACATAAATAAGTTATCAATGCAACTTAACAAATGTTTCAACTATTAACAGCTTGAGGCCTATTTGCTAACCATATATAATTAGTATCAACCATGTAGCATTTGCTTGGGCCCCTGCTACCTAAACTTAAATCTTACCTTTGTTTTTATGTACAAAATAGACAAAGAAATCTAAACACCAAATGCAATGTGTGTAATCATAAATTAGCGGATGGCATGGTGTAAAATACGGCAGGGGACACCCATTGGATTGCTAACTGAGATCAATTTCAACCTGCTCTGGGTTCACCCTTTCGGTTTGATTGTTAACTAGTTCTGCGCCTAGCTGCCCCTTGTCTCCTGCACCAAATGCGTATAGCTTCCCTGATTCTGTGAGTGCAAAGGTGTGGGCATTCCAGTATATAGAATTGGTAAGGCTAATCTGTACTACCCGCTCATTCATTTGCTTCAATGATGTTACTAGCTCTGGGGTCAATACATTTGCATGTCTATTTCCCTGCACAAAGAAAAGATAGCCATAACAACAATTAGTAACTTCACCAACTAACTCCCTTTCATACACCAGCACAAACGACAATTACAATATCAGTTCTGGAAAGCATAAATAGTAAATACAGATATAAAGAGGAAGAGGAGCAAACAGACCTGTCCTTCTGCTGCTAAAGCATTGTGTCCAAGACTTGCGGATTCACCACAACCAAATGAATATACATCGCCATCATCAGAGACCACAAAGGTTGTGTAGTCCCCTGTGGCAACATGAACTGCTTTGACCTCATTCAATGCTTCCACCACCTTAGGAACTGATTCACATTCTTCATTTCCATGACCCAAGCATCCATAACGTCCCCAACCCCATGTGCAAACACGTCCATCCCGACCTACCACAGCGGCGTGCCAGGCACCAGCTGCAACCACCATTGGTTGCAAATTCAAATGCTGAAACTGTTCTATAATTCGAGGATGCTTCTCATCAGTTCTTGAACCATGTCCAAGCTTCCCACCCAAGCCACACCCAACAGAGTACACTGACCTGTCATATTTCCAGAAGAAGAGGATAGATGAATAGTTATTTTAATACCAGAGTCCATTCATAATAAGAATAATAATAATAATAATAATTCGGTGTCAGTATTCAGGAATAACTAATGGAAAAAAACCAGAATTCAGCAATTTTGGAGATGTTTCAAAGCAACGGCAAAAAAAAAAAAAAGGTTTTACAAAAGTAATTTCCATTAAAATTCTTAAATTGAATTGAATGAGATAGAAGAAAGACATTCCAGAAAAAAAAAATTAAACAGAAGCAGCATGTTGTTAAAGCAAAAATGTTTCATCCTTATTGAGCAAATATCAGATTAAAAGCAACATCATCACAGTCTACATATTGTTTAGATATCATGATATCACAATATGAACTATATTTAGCATGCAAAATTTCAAAATCACTACAAAATTGACTGACTTTTCTTTAGTTACATAAATATTTCTCAATAAAAAGAAATGAAGGAACTCACATGCCACTTGGTTGACAAGCCAGAGCAAGAAGGTAGCAGTACCCAGCTGCAATTTGAATGACTGGTATGTTCTCGAGTGCTCCCAACAAAGGATGAGGCTCCAAATCGGTTGGCTCAGTCTGGTGACCGAGTCTTGCATCATTTCCCCAAGAGAATGTATAAACCCTTCCTTCTCTTGACAATATAGCTGTGAAGAAGTTTCCAATTGCAGCTTGAACCACAAATATATTTTTTAATGACTCGACCAACTGTGGAGTCGCAACCATTTTGGTTCCTTGGGTCCCGTACTCAGCTTCACCAAAGGAGTCCTTTCCAAAAGCATAAACTTGCCCAGCATCACTAATCAGCATTGTCCGGCCAGCCCCAGCAGCCGCTTGGATAATTCGAATGCCTTGCAGAGATCTGTAACACAACGTAGTTCCATTAACTTCTCTACCCAACAAATTCTCTTTCCATTTCTTGCATTTACAATACCAGTTCAATGGATTGATGAAAAGTGCGCAACCTGATTGGCCGAGGCCGGCATTCTTCCTCGGTGGAGCCATGGCCTAGCTGTCCAGAGCTATTAGAGCCAAATGTGTAAACTACTCCCTTGGATGTTACAGCAATACTGTGACCAGGCCCTGCTATTGCCTGCGACTTCTCCCTCCTGCAACATGCTTCTCCAGCCAGCAAAAACCTCAGCACCAGTTTCCATGAGCCCCCGCATCTTTGCTTCAACTCTTGACGTTCTTCTTCATTCATTGGCTTAAATATAGCTCTCTTTTGGCACATGTCCAGAGCAGCAAGCTCCGATATGGACAATTCATAGTCAGGGGCAAAGTTTGCTGGCTGCCTAAAGAATGAGCCTGTTGCCTGCAACACACACATTCGAAAATCAAATCAGCAGCATTATCAATTCTATTATTTACAAAGAGCTTCATTATAAAAAAGATAAAGGAAATTGCAACTTGCCTCTAGTGTTGCAAGGTCTTGAGGATCTAAATTACAGGCCGTCAGGACATGAAGCACAATGGAGGGATTGGCAGCCAAGGGAAATTCTCCGGGAGTGGAGTCCCCAAAGCAATGCCGTTGATTTCTTTGAAATGTTGGTACAGGAGCAACCACAATAGCAGTAATCGGCTGATCAGGAATGTTATGGTATTGAATACTTGGAGTGCCACTCGTTGTAGCGTCCATGGGCACTGCCAGCTTTTGCAGTGCCCAAGATTTGCAGAAAGGGAAGATTTAAATAGCTGGAACATAAAATGTTTACATAAAAGTCAATTTTATTACTTTTCACCATTGATCCAAAATAGCACTTATAATATGAACTTTAATTTGATACCAAACTTGTTTTGCCGACTGAGAATCTTAAACAAAATATCTACCTTAGGTAGGTTTTGTATGATCAGCAGACTTCAAGCCTCAAACCTACAAGTAAAACACATCCCGCATACTCAGTGATCAGAAAAAAAAATAACTTGATCATGTCATGAAATGATAAACTGAATTACAACATGAAGAAAAGGGAAGCTTTTTGATCCGATCATCAAAACTAGTTTTAGCCGAAGAGAAGACAGTCAAACTAGATCAGCTCAAAAACAGAGGAACAGAAATGGACAAACAAAAAAACCTGAAACCTGAAGACATTCAGAGAACTGGCAGATACATCAAAACAAGAATCAAATACAGATATTTAAAACATAAGGAACACCAGAAAAATGAAACTTTGAAGAGAAGAATACTATTCTTCTGTTGAAGGATATTCCACTCCCAAAAGAAAACCAAGAAAGAAAAGAATTCTCATATCAAAAGAGACACACCTATTCACGTAAACTCATTATAACACACATAAATAAAGATAAAAGAAAGTCAAATAGACCCGATCAATTTGAACCAAACAAGCAAAATCAACCTCCACCGTTTAAGACCAAAACAGGGATGTAATAATTAACACTCTTTGTCCAGAATTACCCAATAGAAAAGACCAAATTTTGAGGCAAACCCAGATCACAAAAACATAAAAATGAAACAACTCAAAAAGTAAACTTGATCACGTCAAACTAAAAGAAGCTAAAGAGAATCAAACAATAAACAGAACATAATCACATGTTCAACAACTTTTTTTGTTGTTGTTGTCATCTGTAAACATTTATGATCATCATAGATCGAGACATAGAGAATAAGTATTACATGTTAGAAACATCCAGGATTGCTCAAAACCCATCTGCATCTGTGAATAACAGAAGAGAATTACAGAAATTTTGTTAACCAAAAACAGAAAAATTGAAGAGAAAACAAGTGGATATCTGATCAGAAGTTGGTATGTTATTTATAGGGAGCTGAAAAAAGGAAGTGATTGGTAATTGTGAAAATCTTGAAGGCATCAAAAGAGAAAAGAAAAAAAAAGGGAATTTTGTGTAGAAAGCTTAGTTTTTTTCAATGGAGAGGTGTCTGTCTTCTGCTATCTCTATACGTTTTATAAAGTGATGAGGTGTCTCTATGGTGGTGAATGAGAGCAAAATTGCTACATTACCCATTATATTTATAGTCTGAGTATTGTTACACGTCAGCTTTCTTCTTAACTATGGTAATTCACTTACCACAAACTATGGTCAAAGGATAACCAGTGTATGGGTAACTTTGATTTGATCAGATAAGGAGGAATAGGTTTTGTTGCTTATTAAGTGGAGTTAAAGACTTGAACTCTGGTTATCATAATTTGTGATAAAAAAAAATTTTTCTACTTTTTAGTTGGACAAATTAAGAGTAGAGTGTGCAACAATATATATACAGTATACATACATCAAATACCCACTTTTATATTCATTCTATAGTCATGGGTTGAAATTTAATTAGTGGGTAAAGATCAAATTGTTCCCTCAAAAGTCTTTTGTAAAAAAGAAAAAATAATCAAACAATAAATACTTTTTGTAAAACATTCATATGATTTGATAGGGATTATGATTCAATAGGGATTTTTAAATGCATTATTTAAGAGGTTTTGAGTTCGAGACCATTCACGATTTTTAATAAGAATAACCATTAGAATTCTTATCTAACTGATAGTTTTAAAGTCTTAAAAGATTAGTTGAGGTGCGCGCAAGCTTATTCAAGATCATCCAAAAAAAAAATTATAATAATATAAAAAAAATGAAACTATATGCTTTAACAAACAAAACTCTCTCTACTTTTATGAAGTCGAGGCATTCTTTTAGTAATTTTAGTGTGAAAACTAACTTTTCTTAGGGCAATAATATGTGAGAGATGAAACCAAAAACATGATTCATGTGATTCATAAACCACCATTATCAGTTTTGTCAACAACTATACTATACCCTATACAATGGAATTCCTCATTTCAAAGAAGCTATAAACCAGTTGCTCTATTGGGTTAATGCACAAGCCATTGTTGAACAATACCACAACAAGAAACTTGGGGCCTCATGCAGATCAGAGTGGTAAAATTTCAGCAGAAGTGTAACCTCATGAACAAACTTCTTATCAGAAAAACTAGAGGTAGAGCTGAGGTGGGAAACCAATTGTAAGGTTGAGTGATATTAGTTAGGGTTGTAAGGTCTATAGACATAAGAAACAGGGTCCACAGATCCCAGGGATTGCTTCATTTGTACCTTTTCTACAATAAATTTTAATGTGAGATGGAAATGGATGGCACTTTTAACCCAACCACCAGAGAGGTCACTTACAACCCAGTTAAGTGTTTTGGTGGGTTTGATATGCCAAATTTTCTGGCTGATGGGTTCAAATCCAAAGCAAGTGAAGATCTAATCAAGAACTAAATATCCCATTTAACCCCTTAAGGTTTTCTTTTATTTTCACCGTGTGTTGAATTGGGTACCCAAATATGTATATATATATAAACAAACTAGTTGACAATGATATAAATCTTGCATAATAAGGTTGTCTAAATATGATTTCGAATCGACAGATTAATATTGCAAGATTCAGGGATCCTTTTCAAAGAAAGTTGCAGCCTTGTATGTTAAGGGACATGGGAGATTAACTGGGTTTAAGTTACAGCCTAAAATTATGCGAACTGAACCTATATTCATAGGGATTAACCATGTTCAAATACAAAGCAATAACATTTAGCAAGGTTCTCTAGGAAAAAGAAAGTTGAGGAAAAGGATTGGTAAATGAGCTTTAAAGAACGATCAAAAATGAAAAGAATAAAGTTGCATTTATTTATATTCCTGGATGTTCTTTTATACAGAGACTTTCAATAATGCATGTTTTCTTCTGTTTTTTTTTTTTTTTCTAAATGGATTTTATTTATAACCAATGAACCAATAAAGTTCCAAATGAAGTAATTTTCAAGAAAAAAGAGTAGAGAAAAAATTATAGAGAAGTAGTTCCATAAATACCCAAATGAAAGAAACCGGTATGCAAATGCAACAAAGACTTGAGAAGATGTTGGGTTGGGTGGGTGGACCTTTTCATCAATGGCGTCATCTATTAAAGAAACACATACCATCTTCATTAGTTGTCAATTGTTGAAGGAAACAAAACCTTTCATGATGTAACTTCCATGAAAGACACAAATGACTCAATAATCTTCTTGAAATATGCCATGAAATTTTGCATGTAATTTCATCACGCCAAAAAGAAAAAAAAAAATCATTGCTTCTCTCTTTTGTCAAACATTTCTGTCATTCCAGTTCACCTTCTTCTTCTTCCCAGAGATCATTTCTCTTGCAACGTACAATCTGGTTTAATCATATTGTTTCCTAACCCCTTCAATTAAGATTCTCAAGTGACTTGCCAGTAAAGTTTTAGCTAACTACTAAAGGTAACAATAAATAACAATACTGCTCCCCAAATCCATTATTTGTGCTTCATTACTCATCTTAAAACAGAAGGTATTGTATTTTTATGTCTCTGCTTTAGTGGGATCAGTTACTGAACTTGAATAATCACCTCTTCAATCACTATATGCACAACACGTAAAAAAATGACAGATTGTGGTCATTCAGTGGCTATCGACAGCCATTTTCTATTAATATTTATCACTTCAAAACATTAAAAAACGAAGGGGGTTGAAAAGTGTTTCTTGATGGTTGGTTTATTCTATATTATATTGTTTGTTTTGGAGCATTCAACCAATGATGAGGGGTGAATGGGGTCAAATTCATCATGCACCTTCACAATTTGAATAAACAAAACCAGTTTTGAATTGGACTGCAACATATATATCCTCTTAATCAAAAGCTTATCTTATATTCCATTCTTTGTGCTCAAACTGATATACTTGTATGAACTATGAAGTAACAGTTAACTGGTAAGCAGCCAGATCAAGGAAGAAAAGACCATAGTTTTGTGATGTGATTAGATTTAGGACAGTTAGATATTTCATGCCCTTAGAATATCTTGTCCCATGATTAGGGGTTGGTTTAATTGGGAACCGAGTTTTCATTGGAGTCACTGACACTTCAAAGATAAAGTAACCGACAGGATTTCATTTCTACTTTTAACTTCACTGTTGCTGATTTCTTTTACCATATGAATATCTTACGCTTGAGACCAAGCTTTCTGCAATAGTAACAATGACCGCATTATTAGCTAATTCTTTCGGCCTTTGAGGCCTGCAAAATAAGCTGCAGGAAGTTAATAAAGATGCTTAGAACATACTTCATTAGCATTTGTGCCAGTGATAAAAGACACCAGACACTCCAAATCTAAGGATTAGTCTTCATTGGGTGCGTGTTCTATAATTGCAGACAAAGCGCCCATTTAAGGTGTCACCAACTAACGAGCTAGTGAGGAATGATGTTGTTTAAAATAAACATAGCATTAATGCATTCTGCCAAAGGTAAAAAGCACAAAGGCAGGCATAAATTGATTCAGGTCACGCTGATTGCTGCACCTGCATGCAGCTTGTCTCAAGATTTTGAGTCATTGCAACTACTCAGGATTCTTTGGTCTACAAAAATCACCCTAACCCTCTCCTTGTTAATCTTTGTTGCCACATTTGGGTCAAGCACAGACTCGGGACATTTCTTTTTATCATCAAGAGACCACCATGACCATCATTTCTAATATAAAAATCATAAGAGAAGATGATGAGTATTTTTTAACAACCCACTTAGCCAAGGACCAGGTCCAGGGGAACTAAATTTGAGACTCTCTTTTCTTCTCACGCCTGTAACGTAAGAGTTATCTATTTAACTAAAACCATGTGGAGGAATGTGTTCCTGCGTGTACGCCAAGGCATTGCACTCATCCACCAGAACAGGATTCCTTCATTCCTTGTATAAGCTACAAGGTTAAAGTTGAACAAACTATTATTTAAAGATTAACTACGAAACTGCCTAACTTACGGTTATACGTTTTCAATTCTTAGTAGTTGGATCTCAATAAAGCAAATTTTGACACGAGATTTGTGAAATGGATCAGGGTTATCAAATGTTAGACTCTGGTTTATTCATTATTGGGTAGTTTTTAGAGTAATATTTTAAAAAAAGTTAAATTGAGTGGGTATTACGATGTAGAATTTTAAAAATTAACAAAAATACTCCCAATGTATATTTATTTACTAAACACCCTTATAATAAAATATTTAAAGTTAACAAAAATACCCCCAACCCACTCATTAAATACGATAGTCAGCCACCACCGCCGGAGGGTGGACGGAGTAGCCGTATCGGTGCATGACCGGCTGGATCTTGCCAGTCGTGCGCTGATATACCCTTTTCCGGTCAGATCCACCTTGGATCTGGCCGAAAAAGGTCAAATCTAGCCATTGACAGTCAGATCTGACCGCATTTGATCGTCAACGACGACCCTATCTTGGCCATCGTTGACGATTGTTAACGGCCAAAAATCTAGCCATTGACAGCCAGATCTTTGGCCGTAGATCTGACCTTTTTCGACCAGATCCAGCGTGGATCTAATCGAAAAAGACTAGATCGGCGCACTATCCACAAGATTCAACCAGTAGTACGCCATTATACCAAATTCCGACAGTGATAGCCGAAATCTAGTAAATTTGGATTACTAGGGTGTTTTTATCAATTTAAAAATTTTTATTTTTGGTTGTTTAGTTAAATTAACAAATTTAGAGCGTTTAAAAGAAATTGAATAATTTAGAATTATATTTTGAAAATGGGTGAACCAAACACAAATTTTGTGTTAACTTTTTTTGGGAAAACTATAGTACTTTTCTCAATACGTGAACCAAACGGGGCCTTACATGTTCTGTCTTTCTTGCAGGAAATAAGTAAAAAAAGCGGAGGGCAGTTAATAATCTATAAAGCTTAACGTGAGGAATAATGTAACCCATGGCATCTGTTGGACCTTTGATTCCTTATTATTCTTTATGCTCTATCCAAAATGGGGACCATATGAAAAATAAAAAGATGATGCGTTTGATTTTTCAGCTTATACATAGAATAACAAAAGGCCATTAATTAAAACTATTCTTACATCTCAACTCTTGCTTTACGTATATGCGACTTCCAGAACTGTATTGATGCCGCAAGTCATCTGCATGGTAACACTCAATTTGGAGAGATGTCACCAATCCAATGTGGGAATATTCAGGATAGCTTTCCGCTGGAAATAAATAATAACCTCCCTCAAGTCGCTTTCCATATCCAACTTAACATGCAAACAACTAGGCCTGTACTTCATGGTAACTTTAAATCATCAATGATTCTCTTGGGTTCCTCACTCCCTCCCATCTTGGTGCGTGTCTTCTTCAGAACGTTTGTTATCGTTTGTCACTGAACTTTTGCATATTTCAACAGCTTCCTGAGATATCATGAACCCAGTAATAGAATGAACACATATCAGTCTAAGATCTAGAATTATCAGAGGAATTACATAGATCATTGGGTTCACAGAACGATCAGACATCAGTCTTAACATCTAGAATAATTACAGGAATTACACAGATCATTTCTCCCCAAGAACAGAATACAGGTAGAGACAAAAGTGGTAAGTTTAGTAATAGAACACATCAGCCCTTTCCTATATTGAAATCTGCTACCAAGCTTCCCTGTTATAGTGGAGATTAGTTCCCCTTACTTCCTCTTAATTCTTAAATATGACCCAACATTTTCTTCCTTAGCAACCTATCACATACTGATTATATATGATACAGATGGCATCAATTCCCAGTTAGTTCAAGTATGTTTTCATTATAGTAAGTACTCAAATCCCAATAGCATTCTAATACCTAATCGAATTGATCCATACTGGGAATTTTAAAAAAAAAAAAAAAAAAAAGAGGAAAAAGACACACACAATGACACAAACATGCAGTTATGAACAATACATGGCACACCAATGGCAACCCATGGGAACACACCAAGGGACAAATAAGCAAAAGACATAATCAGACATACCAAAGACACTAATGACATAATGGCACATGAACAATCACCTCCCCTTGTCTAAGTTCACTAAATGATCAGCAGGCAGAAAGGATTAAAGTTTAGGGAGGGAAGACATCAAATATACCTTTTCAAAGTTTTCATATGATTGTTGCTCCTCCCTCCCATCAACCTCAGTCTTAGCAGAAACCACACCATCTTCTGTTCTGAATACAGAGATTGTACTCTCATCTTTATTCAACTCTTGACTAGACTGGTCACCGTTCACAAGTTTGACATTGGCGGTATCTTGACCAGTTACAGACAGCAGGTTTCCATTCTTTTTATCAACTAAGCTGGCAGCACCTCCACTTTCCTCCTCAAGTCCACTCCTTTCATTTTTGTGTTCCTCGTTTGTTAACTGGTTTCCCTTAACTGCCGCCTCTTCAGCTTTCCTCTTCTCTTCTCTTTCTCGTCTTTTTCTTGCCTCTTGCTCTTTCAATTGCTTAAATCTGGAGTATATCAACACATTACAACTGAAAATAGATGGTGTAAAAAAACACTAAAATAAGAGAATATTAACGACAAACCTTTCACCAGGACGTACTCCCTCCACTGTCAACTTCTCTCTTTGTCTGACCTCCTCCTTTGTGGAGTTTAATCTTGAGACAGGTTCCTGAATCTCAAGTTCTTCCTTAATTGAATCACTGAATTCTCTCATTGGATTTTTTGCTCCCCCAAACTTCTGAAGCCATACTTGCTGGACTGTACTCAATATATTATTTGTAAACCTACATAAATGGAAATTTAAGATGCAGGAAATCATAAGCAGAATGTCAACAGGAATCATTCCAAACTAGATGGATATAATCCTAGCATAGAAGCGCTTTACGTCTGCTCACCAATAAAGACTTAGACCAGAAGGAACTGAAAGAGAAAAATAGCCAATCATTAACGGGAGGAAGTTTGTCAGTGCTTGAGAAGTCTTCACATTTGGATCATTATTCTGAAAGTAAAAAAATGTCAATTTTTGCCTCAAATAAACAATATTATATGATAAAGGTCAAGATTTACAATGTCATGCAAAATACCTTAAAAATGAGTAATCAAATCAATCAGAAACATTTCACTCATATCATATATTGAATAATGCTATATACCCCAAGTTTGTTCCCAAGTCTTGCATTCAAACCGATTTAGCATGATATTAATGGTACATGTGGATCATATGGTTAAGTGTTCAATGATGTGTATCTCTAAATTAATGCCACGTAACTTGGGATTTTAAAATTGGGATCCAAACTTGGAATGCATAGCAATACTCATATTATATTTTTCAATGATTCATAAGTTATTGGAGATTCAAGACATAGAATTTTGAAGGCATTTTCAGATTTATTTCCACCTGAATCTAAGATGGAGCCTACTGGATAGCAAGTCACATATACACATATCTAAAAAGCAAAACTAAAAGAGAAGTGCTCATATGCATGTGATAGTGTCAATATGTTGCTTAGTCCCTCTTTACCATTGTTTTGGCCACATAAAAAGACATGATTTTAGCAATTTTTGTAGCATCATTTGACATTATAAGACAGGTTGTTTGAAATAGTTTAATCATGCGCCAGGGACCAAAAATTACACCAGTGTTTGGTATTCAGCTTGACAAGCTGTATACATCTAGTATAAAGCACAAAGCAATAAATCATTCCAATATATGGTAAGACTTGGTCAAATACTTAGTTCACAAGTAATCGGACACATTTACACCTGGAAAGTGACTGACCTGTGAGGCCTGCATGATCTGCACTGAAATATACTGTGAAACAACCAATAACACAGGCAAGACAAGATACGGGAAGGTATCATGCCATCCAAGGGGTGGATGACCATCCTGAGAACATTGAACCAAGAATGAGCAACTTCAAAGATGAAAGCAACAGCACATATATAATAAGAAGCATCAATCAAGCAAAATTAGAACAAAAAATAGTGACCCACATATGGAATCTCTTGAGTGGGATGAACCAGGAATATAGCTTACATCCTAATTTCATTTTATAGAAGCCACAATTAACTGAATTACACGTACAACACCAGAAGAAACATAGTGCAGTTCATGATTTGTAACTTTGATGAAAAACAGTACTATTATACACTTGACACTCAAATAGAACCATGACTTGGAGTAAAATATGTACAAGGCTTATAAAGCATATGATGTGAAATTCAAACTAAATGATGAGTTTAGAATTCCTTACTTGAAAAGGGAAAAGCCAAGAAATGCCACTTCCACTTTGTCGAGCGGCAATTGTGGTAGGACCAGCCAAAGAGGGTATCCAAAAGAAGCCTTCAGTAAGGAGTCCCTATGTTAATCAAAACATTCAATTAGAATTTAGACACAACAGACAACTAGAAAAGAGGGAAAATACAGCCACAGCAAGCTGTAAATAACAAATTAATGGAATAAGCACACTACCTCATCTGCCACATTTGAAAGAGCTCTATATAGGCCAATCCATACTGGTATTGTGGCAAGTGTAGGCAAACACCCTGGCATAAGGCAAGAAAACAGACGAAGTGATTTCAATAGTTGTACTTAGAGAGAGGTTCTGGTAATAAACAGAAGGAAAAACATAATCTATGCTATTATAATGAAAACAATAAGGTACATGTAATAAAACACATTAATGTGGAATCTCAAAACAGAACCTAACTCAAATCAGTCTTCTCAGGAATTTTAGTAAGTCTCAGATATTAAAAAAACAAAGATTCAAATACAATTCAAATCTAGAAATAACATAAGTACCTGCTAGAGGGTTTATGCCAGCTAATTTATATAATCGAGCGGTTTCAAGTTGAATTCTCTCCTGCAAGTAGACAAAAGTATCCAACTTCTCAAATCAAAACAAAAACAGCCATTAAAAAAACAGATGGTTATAGCTACAATATATATTAACAAATTAAATCTCTAAAGTCTTGGGCTACGTAAACATATTTACAGATAAAAAGAAAAGAGTGTGACCTGATCGCCGGCATATCTTTGCTGAATAGCCTTTATTTGGGGTGTTAAAGATCGCATAGCCATCGCAGATTCAACCTGTGCACAACATGTTTAACTACTACATCTACAGCACTATGCAACGGTGACATTAACAAAAGAAGGTCTCAATCCAATTTAACAGAACTAACGAACCTGTTTCTTAGTCAAAGGAAAAGTAGCGGCCTTAACAATAACAGTGAGAAGGATAATAGCAAAACCATATGAATATGGCACATGTAAAGTAGACAGTCCATCTTTTAAAACCTGGAATCAAACCCAAGAAGAAAAAAATTAAAAAAGAGAAAAGACAACTTTATAGTAACCCAATAACAAAAATAAGGGAAAAAACTTTTGTACATAAACCCAATACTAATATAAACTTGTTATACCTTCAAAACAGTTTCCATTACATTAGTAATACCAGAAAGCCAATCAGAGTTCGGTTTGGTTGTAGTTACTGTGTCGGAGGAAGACACGGCAGCATCAGCTATTGTAAAGAGAATGTTTTCAGCTTGTCCAAAGAGCTCCTTGATTACACCCTCGGCACTTTGTGGGTCGGGTTTGAACCCGAATTTGGCAACAGAAAGTGAGCCACGGAGGAATGGTTTGTGGGCAAAGTGAGTTCGATTAAAAAGAGGATTCTGAGTATCCGTCCGGTTCGGAAATGGAGAAAGAACAAGGTTGGGCTTGACTGAGAGAGAATTGGACATGATTTTTAAGGTTTCTGTAAAACCCTAAATTTTTTGGTTTGGTTCGGTTTGGTTCAGTTGAAGATGCTGCAGAATCTAAGTAAGTCTGTAAGTGATAAACGCATGATGCCCACTTTGTTGGGATTTAAGAAAATTAATAAATAAAATAAATATCTTTTTTTTTTTTCACGTGATAAATCAAATTAAACAGGCAAACATTGTGCTTAATTAAATATTAGTATAATCTAATAAGCTATTATTTATGTTTTAGAGAAGTGGGATTGTATGAATATTCACTGATGTCTCTGTTATCCTTATAAGTTGAATATCTTTTTTTTATTATGTGTCCCGATGCATTTCAATTAATCTTTCATAGTTTTAAAATTATCGATCAAGTAAGAGCCTGGACTTGCAACAACACAAATGAATACACACAAACAAAATAAAAAGAAAAAGAAAAGGCATTGATGAAATGAAAATTACTTTCTGGAAACACTTTTAAAACAGACCCTTTGTAAGCATATCACACCGCATGGATTCACATACAAAGAAAGTCCAAATGCCTCAATTTTAGGAAATGAGGCATTGCAGGCTTGCAGCATCTTGAAATTATTTGACTTTTGCAGCTCCAATTGATTGAAACAATCACACAAATCTTTATCTCCGTTTTCTGGGTCATGCCTCTTGGGCTTGGGCCTATTAGAATACATCTATAACGGGCCTAAAATTAACATACTAGTTTTTCCACATAAAATTCAGAAATGGGAGCAGTAAGAAGAAGTGATAAGAAAGTGCAGGTGGGGTATGAAATATGAGGTCCATATCTTACCAGTCACACCCTTTGGATAAGAGAAGAATCTAAAAGCCATCACTCTATTGGTCTAAATTTGCCTCAATTTCTCATCAAATCTTCAACTCGACTTTCCCATCTTAACCACCCATACAACTCTAGAGAGCACTGACATTCTTCATTCAGCATCAGACTCAAGAGCCTAACACAATCCATACATATCATCAATGGCTGCAACAATGGCTACAATGGCTGTGCTTAATGCTAAGTGTTTGAGCATCAACACAACCAAAAACATCAACCACAACAAACCAACCATCCAAAACCTCCCAAAAGGTCTGGCCATCTCAAAACCGGCTGACAATTCAGCCGCACTAGCTGGTACTGCTATTGCAGGAGCAATCTTTTCAACTTTGAGCTCCTGTGATGCAGCTTTTGCAGCACAACAAATAGCCGAAATAGCAGAAGGTGACAACCGTGGCTTAGCACTATTGCTACCAATCATACCAGCCATCGGTTGGGTGCTCTTCAACATTCTCCAACCCGCACTGAACCAAATAAACAAGATGCGTAGCACCAAGGGAGTGATAATCGGGCTTGGACTCGGTGGATTGGCTGGGTTGATGTCAATGCCACCACATGCATCGGCTAGTGAAATTGCGATGTTGGCTGATGCTACAAATGACAACAGGGGCCAGCTTCTGCTGTTTGTTGTTGCTCCAGCGATTCTGTGGGTGCTCTACAACATTCTTCAACCGGCTTTGAACCAAATCAACAGGATGAGGTCTTAGGGAGAGATCGATGAATGGATTTTGTAGGGTGTGATATATGCAACAAAATTATTATTTGTGTAATTGCACCTATTGTTAATGAACTACTTTTTTTTTCTTTTTCCCGAGTTGAATTGTAATTAAAGTGCTCAGATCAGATCAGAAATGGTTATGTCTCATCACCTCTTCTTGTTTACTTAATGGTAGATTGATATAATATGTATAATTGGGGTATCATAATCCATTGTAATTTACATTTATACTATTACCATCTATGTTATTTAAATTCCTGGTTGGATTATGTTCTAAAGAGGTCTGAGAACTCTACATGAAGGGGAAAATTGATGATCCTTATTGATTGAAAATTGGAGGGATGGGTAAGGTGTTGGCCACACGATCAATAAAAATTTGGGATCTTCATGACTTTCAAATTCAATGGAGTGTGTTGTCAATTAATAATAATAATAATTATTATTTTTGGTTGAAAAGAATCTATTTATTAGAAATAATATCAGTGTTTTAAAACTCAGCCCGCCGACTGAACTAATTGAATCGGGGCCTTCATTGGGCCAGGTTACAAATTTTTCTAGTCATTGAAAACCCTAGAAATTAAGACATCAATCCATGAATAATTGAAGACTGGAATGTTAGGGCTTTTAAAGAGGAATGGTCGGTGAGTGCAATGGTGACAACGACGGTGATTTTCAATGAGTGAATCGACTGGAAATCGCATAACTATGTCATCGAAAAAAGTCTACTGTTGCCCGTGATGGAGGGGGGGGGGGGGGGGGGGGGGGGGGGGGGGGGGGGGGGGGGGGGGGGGGGGGGGGGGGGGGGGGGGGGGAGAGAGGGGAACAAGGGAGAGGTGAGATGGGTTTTAGTTAGGAGACTAAGGGGAGTGTTTTCATGGTGATAGGGAGTGTTGTCGTGGCCGAAAACAGACCCTATTTGCCAATACCGACGGTGGTGTTTGAGGTGGTAGTTTTGTAAGATTTCAAACCTATAGGGACTTATATGTAATTTTTAAGGGTATTTTTGTTAGATTTCAAATTTTTGGACACCAGTTTGACCTGCCAGTTAAACTGGTTAAACCGGTCAATCTGAACCAAGCCACTTTGCTGGATTTCACCCCAGATTAGGTTTTAAAACACTGAACAATATACATATACATTGTTCAATAGGAATGATGATTCAACCAATTTGGTGATGTAAGACACAAAAACAATTGGGAAACCTTAGAATATACAGTGTGGGACTTAAGCCCAAATATAATAATACAATTAACATTGCCAATGAAAGTTTCACTCATTTTCAATAAAGAGTAAAAGAATTGGACTTTTATTGTTATCCAATTCAAAATCAACTAGAATTAAACTCAATCCAATCAAATAAATTTGTGTGTTCGGATAAAAACAATTTAGACTAAATTAAGTTTGGAATATTTTAGAACACATATTGTTAATAATGATAAGATTAAAAACATTGTAATCATATTTAGAAAGAATTTCAATAATGTGCACTTAAAAATAAAAATGCATGATTAGTGATGACTATCATTCCCACCCAGCTGTAATGTGGCCTGTTGGAATGGCATTGCAATGGGCTGGCTGGCTGGCTGGCTTGGCCGGTTGTTGGACCTCTTTTTCTTTTGTAAAAGGCGGTAGACCTGGACCACTCTTCATATTATTAATCTCTCTTCCGTTCTAAATGCCTGCATGCATGATCTACATTTTAGGGTTTCACTTTCACTAGTAGCCTCAAATGCCAAACCCCAGCTTAAACAAAAACAATATTATTATTAAATTATAAAGCTTACCCTTTTCAGGATTAGCCTGAAACAGGAAATTTATATATGATTAATGGTAGTTATAAGTATCACATCTTCTCATCATTTTAAACTCCAATTGTGTACAGTTAAACTCCATTAACATTTATATCTGTGGTGTGGCCACCTGGTTGAACAAATAAACTCCAACTCAAGCCCCTCTTAATGGTTCCATTGAACTGAAGATAATGGAATTATAATATTGGAATGGTCTGTGACTGTGAGGTTGAAATGAGGTAAGGGAGATGGAGCCTACAAATACAACGATGGTTGAGACAAAAAGGAAGGGCCATATATTGACTTTGTTAGAATCGCACCTCAAACCTAAACCCCCAGCTGTGTTATAATGTGATTGATGGTGCTTATCTCACCTAATTCATTATTTTATTTTTAATTTTCTTTTCTTAAATCATTTCCCTTTTCCTACACCTTATAAGCTATAATTAAGTAATACAGACACAAACAAGAATTCCATTTGGCTTCATGCAAGTCATGAAAGCCACTCAATCAAAAACTCCCATTCTCAAATACTTTCTTATCTCTCTCATCCTTTCTCTACCTCTCCTCCTTCTCTTCACCTCTCTCCAACCCCACCTCCACCGCCGCCACCACCCAACCGTCACTGACCCCACCTCAGCAGATCTCAAGATCCGACCCGGCTACTCCTCCTACGAAACCTACCTTCAACGTCAACTCAACAAAACCCTCAACCCTAAACTACGTCAAATATGGACAACGCGTGACTGGGATCGTAAAATTCAAGTGTTTGCCAAATTCTTCGATGAGTTAAAGCGAAAAAACCTTCTTTCAAACCAATCAAAAGCTCTCTGTATCGGCGCTCGTGTTGGCCAAGAAGTTGAAGCCTTGAAACGCATCGGCGTAAACGACTCGGTTGGTATCGATTTAGTGCCGTATCCGCCGTTGGTTATAAAGGGAGACTTCCATAAGCAGCCGTTTGACGATGAGACTTTCGACTTTGAATTCTCAAACGTGTTTGATCACGCACTTTATCCGAATAAATTCGTTAGGGAGATTGAACGGACGTTGAAGCCAGGTGGGGTATGTGTATTACACGTGGCGGTATCTAGACGGGGTGATAAGTACTCGGCTAATGACTTATACAGTAGTAAACCGTTGGTGAAGATGTTCAAGAAATCGGAGATGGTGGACGTTCGGAAAGTTGACGGGTTTGGGTTAGATACAGAGGTGGTGTTTAGGAAGAAAGAGAAAATCCAAATCCAAGGGTGATTGATGATGAAGTATTGATTAATTTGTTGGTTATGTTGTTTGTTTATAGTTTTTGTTGCTGTTTATGTTCTATGGCTACGGCAACATCCATTTTCTTCCATTATTTTCTAGATTCGTGAAATGAAATTAGATATGACCACCAACCAAAACCAATCAAAATCCATACAACTTTCGGCTTTAATGGTGATTGACATTTTTTTTTTTTTAATAACCGAGGTATCCGGCGGAATTTGTGCACATTCCAACTAAGTTCAAGTTCTACTTAACACTCTATAAACCTAAAAGATTAGATAAATCATAATATTATTTAAACCAAAAACTCAATAAATGAAACAAAACTTTTAACGTCAAATGACTTTTAATATTAAAAAATATTATTGTACTTGAATGGCAAGCTCCCTCTAGTAATTGGATTCAAGAAAAGGGCTAATATATATATATAAGTTTATGCGTACAGCTAGGGATGTCATTATCTGTTTGTTTTAATTAAGAAAAATCATATTTATAAATAAATAATTAGCCGAAAAGGTAGGAGCAGAATATGAAAGCTGGGGAGCACTTTGGGGATGAGGAGTAAATAGAGTAAAGAGTAAGGGAATAAAGGATGGCCATCTCTATATGTAAAATGAATTTGTTAAGTCTTTAGGGGACATTCATTATTATGCTCTACCGTTTTGAAGAATCTCTATCTCTAATAGGTGGGATTTAATTTAATTAACGGAAACCAATAAAAATGGGATCAAATTAGCAGAAACAAATAAAAACAGAAAGACATGGGTGCCTGTTTGATGTTTCCACAAACAATCAATTTTAAATCCCGCCAAATCACATTAACTATTACGTTACTTGGGATTTAGATTCCTAATTTTATAAGTGTCATCATATTATTTTCTTATAATTAACATGATATTGCTATTTTAAGATCCAAACTTAATATCCCAACATTATATACATAATATTCAGGGTTGATACTTTTATTAAAAAACTTAATTTTGATTAAAATGACCGTCGACTAAGCGGGTGGTGATTTACAACAAAAACCTCTCCTACGAAAAAAGGATTTTTAGATTTCACATTTATTTGAAGTGGGAAAATATAATAATCTTCGATCTGAATTATTATTATTAGAAAAAGAAAACAATTGATGAATTTCCATTTTACTTAATTTCAATTTCTAGTCCGAACCAATACTGGAGATGAGAGAAAAAGAACCCATACAGCCATACTGACTCGAATTTGATGAATTTTCTATTAAATGGTACTACCCAGTTTATATGGATACATCATTTTCTACTAATCTGTGTGTGTGTTTTTTTTTTTTTTTTTTTTTTTGTAGTTTAAAAACACTTCTTCTATATGAAACTACTAAAAACACATAAAATTATCTTAACACCTTAATAAAGTTGAAGTTATATTTTAAACGTTAATGTCCTCTCATTAATTTTCTACTGTAAGCTCCTATAATTGTAAATTTTGATAAAATGTAGTCCGGCCTATAATAACCCAAATATTTATCCACCAAGATTTATGAATGTGTTCAACGTGTGAATTGTAATAATACTGAAGTTTTCACCGGATACAAAACAAGCCACATTTCTTATCAGCCATCAACATTAATTTTCCTTCAAAACAAGAACTCACCCCCGTTTAAATACAAAATTTCCCATATATTTAACGATTCAAAAAAGAAAAAAAAAAAAAAAAGAATTAGAAAAACATGGCTCAGATTGAATGCCATTCTCTTTGAATCTCATGATTAACAGGAAAACAGAAGAGAGACCTCTGCAGGCGACGCGAAAAAGAGAGCATAAACTCTCGTGGGACAAAATTGAAAAAACCAAACTTAACAAGCAGGAGCTGACTGTTGGTCTGCCTGGCTATCTGGAACAAATTCGAGAGGCTGGTTTTCTGTGTTCTGCATTTGTGACTGAGAAGCATTTAGCTTTGCGGCCTTGTAGCTGCTTGAGCTTCTAAGGATTTTTTCCAAGGTCCCACTAGAGCTGCTCCAAGATGAACCAATACATATTGTTAGATAAACACAAATTACTGGAAAATAGAACTTAGACAAACAGATTTGTTTTAAACTTGACCACGGATTGGATATGAATTTTTGTTCTTTCATTCTATTTCTTTTTCAAATTTTTAAAAAATTTCAAAACACGTTCAAAGTTTAAACACAACCAAAATTTACTATTTAAACAGCAGAAACATATATGTAAAATATATTCACCAAACTTTTGCATGTAAGCAGATTCACCAAATGCATAATTATTATAACCAGAAAGAAGTCTTATAGGGTTTAGACTTTTGATTGACAAAAAGTTAACCTAAATGTGCAACTAAATTGCCAACATTAGCACCAGGAAAAAAAAGAAAAACAGATTGATCTCACAATGATAAAATTAAACTTACAATGAATTTGTGATGTTTCTTCCACCACTTTCTTTCCTTTTTGAGCCACTAGTTCCTGCAACAAATTTGAAATTAAATAGAAGAAATTAGCTGCAACTACCCACCAGGGAAAAGAAAGTAGTAATAACCACAAAAAGACGAAAATATTGTACATTAGAATATGTTTCATGTCAAAGAAGACAATGTAGTCAGAAACCACTCTACAAAACACAGCTTATGAACTAAGCTTTCAGGAGAACACTTTGACAAGATTATTAGTTATCTACAAGTTCTGACAGTTCAAACAATGTCAACCAAAGATGTTGGCAGGGACTGAAACGAAACAACAGACAATCTCTCAGCTAAATTTTAAAAAGGAGACACATAATCCACCATTAACAAAAAGAACAAGTGTACAACCTAGTAAACATCTCACCAGCTGTGCAGACAGTTTTTAATCATCATCACTTATTGATTATTCATCTTATAGTCTAAGAGCAGTGACAAAAGAACAATGAAAACCATTGGTCAATAAACTTACAATACAATTAGTCTGGTAATATTAAATACATTCAAAATTCAAGATGTTAAATTACCATTCTGTTGCGCACCGCTATCCCCATCTGAGTAGTCAGATGACAAGGAATTATCAGATGGAGTTCTGGTGCTGGCATCTGAATTATATACCCCATCTTCATCATCTGAACTCTCATAACTATCTTCCTTAAAAATTGAGCCTGATGTAGCTAACAAGCTCTTCTTATGTTGTGAGCTATATACTACTTCCCCATTATAGTATTTACTGGAAACATCTCCAACGTCCAAACGAAATTGATGCCTGTCACCCCTTTGACCTTCGGGAAGTATGTTTTTAGAACTAGACAAGCTAGAGTCTGATGCAGCAATGTTTTGTTTGCTTTTATCTGAACGAGTATGAGTTGCAGAACCATTGACAGCATTGGGCCTTGTAGCTTCCTCTTTTTTTGATAACTTACCAGAGTTGTTTTTAGCCTCACTTCCAGAGACTCTTGCCAGCTTTGTTTTAGGATGAATCTTTGGGTTATCACCCTCACCCTTTGACAATGATCTCTGTGGTTCAACACTGCTAGAGTCAACAGCTTGAACTTTTCCTCCACTCCTTTGGTTCTCAAATAACTTCAGTGTATTTTGTAAATCGGGTGAGGGGCCATTAGAGTGTGCATCAAGTTTTTTCTTCTTCTTGCTGGCTTTTACCTCTTTCTCTACTCCTTTTTTTTCCGTCACCTTTTGAACAGGCATATTGTGAGAAACATCAATCAGATGCTGTTGTTGGTTGGGCACAAAATTATCATTAACGATAGTCCTATCACTTTCACAGGATGCTTCCATTTTATTATTAGCTTCATTTGAACGGCCACTTGTAGGGAAATTACCATTTTGATCTTGAAGAGGACTTGTTTCAATGCCAGTATTATTTTCAGATTCCAGATTTGATCCATTTAGCTTGTTTTCAGAACTTGTCTTCACTAAGCTTGCCTTCTTCGTCAATTTCAATGATGCATCCACCTTCGCGTCCCTAGTGCCATCAGTTGACAGCGTCACATTCTTACAACTAACATTTTCATCTTCTTCTAGCAATTCTGGTGGGTTCTTAGCAGCAGAATTTCGTTTTCTCTTGGTTTTCTTTCTTGATTTCTCATCCTTATTTTCCGCATTCATTGGGATTTCGCTGATATCCTTCAAGGATTCCAACACATTTCGAATCACATTATCAGAATCCATGTCATTAGCCAAAACAGAATTATTCACTGCTGTCATTTTTGGAATTTCTTTCCCCTTGACTGGGGACATAAAGCTTTCCTCTTTCTTAGATTTATCACTTGAATGATCGGTATGAATTGTCTCATGTGGCTCGGTTGAAGAAATGCCAATCCCAGAACCTGTTTTATGCTTCGTAACCGATGAAGAAGGATCCTGAGATTTTTTGGACTTCCTTTTTTTCTTTGAAGATTTTGGAGGTTCTAACTTTACATTGGTATCCCGGTCCACATTTCCATTAGCATCAACCAAATTAGAAGCAACTACTACTTCATCACTGCCTGAAGGGGTGACCTTTACTGGGGGCATTGCTTCTGAATCTTTACTTTGAGACAATTCTTTTCCTTCTGCAACTCTGCCAGTTTGATCACCTCCAAATTTCTGACAATCATGAACAATGACATTCTCACACTTGGTAACCCCTGAATTCTTATTAAGACTACTAGCCTCTTGGACAGGGAGGGGAGGATTGCCTTCTGCTTCACCGACATGATGATCCACTGAAATTCTCATTTGTTTTGCTGCAGATGGAGCTGTTAATTCAGGTGAAACATTCTTGCTTTCAACATTGCCGACACCTTTGCCACTTGTATCAACTTCTACAAAATGGAAACCAGTATGAATATCAGCAACTCATGTCTTTGTTTTCTCACAAATAAAGAAACTGAAGTCGAATAAAAATTTGATTTAATCAAAGACAAAAGCCACATAAAATCGCACATCAAAACAACAAAAGGACCTTACCTAATGAACAAGGTACTTTATTGTTTTCCCCCTCTTCTTGCAGGGGAACATAAAGATTTTTCTTCAAAGGCACTGAATATGGTTCAGAAATCGTGGCACCATGGACACTTTGTGAAGGAAGAACTGCTGCATCATGTTCGTTTTCCAAATTCCTGTGATGAACTCCAACAGTGTCCCCAGGGTGCACCCTCCTCTCATCTTGTGCAGAAGAAGGAACTGCAGCTACAACTTGATCAAGAAATTTTGATGATTTCTTTTTTCTTTTCTTTCTTCCACTGCTTGCATCGGTTGTCAACAAATTGTCATCCTTCGACATTTCAGAAGATAAATGGTCCAAGGTAGTGTTTGTGCCTTTTTGTTTGTTCCCAAAAGAGCACTGAGAAATTGTAATCTCTGGCACCAAGGTCTCTCTAGTAGAATCACATGCCAGAAGCCTGTTTTCTTTTGAAGAATTTCCAATCTCATCTTTCCTTGCAGTCTTCTGCTTTTTATTAGCAGCAGGCCTGGGTGAAGCTTCTTCCAATGATGTATTGCACTTCGCATTAACATCAACATTCTTAGAAGTATCGCACTCAAAATTTTTTCCTGAAGCTGCAGTTCCCTCATAGAGAACATCAGTCATCAGCAGCTCCCTGCCTGATTTCTGGTTGATATCAGAAGCTGAAATCCTGCAATGTTCATCAGCATTATATTTGCTTCCCATTTGCATATCACGAGTAACTACTGTACCTCTACCGTCAGTGACCAAAGAGTTATCCAGGACCATGTCTTGCTGTGATTCATCTTCATCAGATACATGAGCTGGCACATTCTCTTCGTTTGAAATATGGTCACTTACTTCATCCTCCCTCCTCCTTTTTGCTTTAGGTTTTTTCTTCGTCACAGATACAGTTTCTGGAGCCCCTTCCATTGCATTGAATTGCACATCATTAATTCCATTCCTGAAGTTGTTTTCCTTACATTCAGTACATGTTATGCTATCTTTACTAGAACGTTTCTCCTTTAACTTCATATCTGACCTATTATTGTTATCCAGAGCCAAGATGTTGCAAGTACTCTGAGTAGAAGGTTTCTGTTTTCCATTCTGGTCTCTGTGAACTTGTGTCAATGTTGAATCATCAATATTGGACAACCTTCTGGGAGAAGCATCAGCCAGAAGAGCAACCCCATCAGCTGAAGGATTACCTGTGATGCCACAAGAGGCTCCTAGGTGTCCAAAATTGGATTTCCCAGTATGCTGGTTTTCACTCTGCTCCTCTACAATTGAAGCATCAACAGAAAGAAACCAGCTTTTGCTGACTCCATCAAATGCACTTTTTACAAACATGGAATCTGATAAATGATAAAAGTGTCCTTTACGTTTAACCTGTTGAATTCACAAAACCCCAAACCCCATAAATGTAAGCCATGTAATCAACAGGTAATATAATCAACAGCCTTAAACTGCAAGATAAAGAAGTCACCTTTAAAGCATGAATTTTAATCCCACTAATGTTAGGAAAGCACAATGGGTATTCATGCAGTATTCTCCCTGCACCATCAATAGCATAAATAAGTCATTAGAAACAGAATCTAAAAGTTGAAAGTAGTTAAACAAAACATAAACGTTTTAAGGATTGCAAGCTATTCATAATGTAATTCAAACTTTGCTACACAACTAATTCTCAAGTCTTTAGATTGTAATAAGACAACAGAAGCTATCAACTCCCACAGATAAAATTTTTCTACTGATTCTAGACCTTGGCACAAATTTTTTTCTCAATATCTATAAAACCCAGTAACTAAATTTCTAATGACAACTTATCTACATCTTCAAATATGAAAAAATATTCTTCTTCAATTAAAATGACTTATCAAGATTGATTAATTACTACTTACTTAACACTTCAGTCTCACAAGAAATACTTTTAAACGGAAAGATAGCACAAGCATCATCTGAAAATTCACTCTTTAGTTATATTTCTCTAGTTACTCCACAAAAGAGATTAAAAAAAAAGGCAAAAATTAGGAGTCTTTTCGTATTAATTATAATCATGGAATTGCCGCAACAAGAACACTTTGGAAACACAAAGAATTAAGTGTAAATACTTTTGAGGTCCGAAACAGTGTCGGAACCGGAGACGATCATGGCCAAGTGAGTATCGAGGCTGGTGTCTATGAAGACAGTATCGTAGGTAGTGGTTCCACCAGAATCAGAAATAGAAGTGGGTTTCTCCATTGATAGAATCAGATAGAAAAAAAAAAGTGAAGAATGTATATATGAAGCGAGAAGTGCGGAGGAGAAGAAGCTAAATGCTTGTGTAGAATGGAGGGGTTTTGTGTTGAGGGTTTGGCTTTGGCTATGGTGGCATAGCATCAATTGGAAGGAACCGCGCTCCTTACGTCTCCAAGTCTAAAGTGCCGAATCGGGTCAGACATGGCCCGACCGTCCACTTGGCCCAGGCCCGGGTCAACAGCAACGTAATTTTCTTTTATATTTGAGATATTCTATTAGTAGCTAAAATTGCATTCCTCACACATTGTTTAGAAGTGCAAACATTAAAAAATAATTTTTCATCATCTTTAAATAAAATTTCTTCTTGTGAGTATATTTTCTATTGTATTATAAGCTGTGTTTTAAAACCCGGCTTAGCTCGGCCAGTTCAACCGGTTCAATGGGGACCCAAGGCCTTTACCGAATGACTTTTTAGTTTTGATTGTTCATGACAAACCCTAGAGATTAGGACGACGATCGACGAACAATTAGTGACTAGAATATTGGGGCTTTTAAAGAGAAATGATCAGTGAGTCAAAAGGTGACAACAAAGGTGATTTCCAGTGTGAAATGACTAAAAATTGCAAAAATCGATCACCGAAAACAGCGAGCTGTTGTTGACTTATTGACGATTGGTAAGGCGAACGAGGGTGGGGTGAGATGGGTTTTGGTCAGGAGGTTGAGAGAAGAGTATTCGTGGTGACGCTGGAAACAAGCCTTATTTGGCATAGGTTGTCGACACCGGTAGTGTAATTTAGGGTGTTTTTGCAAGATTTTAAACCTATAGGGACTTATGATAATTTTTAAGGGCGTTTTTGCTAGATTTCAATCCTCTTACATGATAATGTCATCGATCTGACCCATCGGTCAAACCGATCAACTCGAGACCTGGCTACTTTGCCAGATTTCACCCCTAGTTGGGTTTTAAAACACTGGTTATAAGAACTAATCTATCAATTTTGATTTTAAATTTTTATAATAATTGGTATAATAAAAATTCTATTGGGTGCATATAGCTGCATCCAAATTTTATTTAGTCCTCATTCATATATAATATCAAAAAGGGTGGGTGACCTTCGATGAAAACATGCAACTTACATAAGTCAATGATTGTAGATTGAGTCAAAATGGCGAGTGCTCACTACAATATGAAGGCTTAAATTTGGGCCATTCTATTTCTATCTCATTTGCAGACATTTCTAATTTGCATGAACCTGAGAAGCAACAACCCACCAGGATTTCTTCCATGAATTCAAGTACCATGTATAACTTGTGATTGATGATGTACATTAAATATCTCAAGATACGAAAAAGGGTTTTCACTTTTCCATCTCAAACATCTACTACAGAATGGGAAGTTCAAGACTATTAAATAACTGCAAGGAAAATAAAGAGAAGTTTTGATCATAATACACAACTCAAAATTAACCATTAACACCAACTACAATTTGAGGAAAATGTGTGGAAGGAAGATAACTATTCCAACCATACAACTAGTTTTTTACTTTTTTAAGGTTATATCCACTAATCAGACTGCGTATCCTCGCCAACTTCCCCAACAAAACAATAGATAATAAAACTGTCTATTCCTTCTTCCTTGAATCTTTGAGTTGTCCTCTTTTTCTAACCCCAAGGTTAAACTTCAGACGCCAGGCATCGATACCACTCTCTGGCAGTAAATTCAGCAAATACCAGAGGAAGGAATGAGGCCAGTAGGGTGTGCAACGAGGTTCATAACCTATCCACCGCATAGCTGCCCGTGCATAACCATCAGTTGATGGAACAAAGAATGAAGATCTCTTGATTGACGCCATCTTGGTTGCCACATATAATGGAACCTGTATACAGATAACTCTCAGTTAGAGAAAATAAATCAAAAACAGGCAAATAGAAAAGTTAGTTCCAATAGCAAACTCTTGGTTTATGAACATCTTAATTGCTTAAGACATCACTGATTGGTGATAAGCACCGAAGTTTTTTCACATTAAACAGAACTGTCTACAGAATTTAATATCGACAAACTATAACTCACCCTAGACGTTGGCCCTACTTCTACCGGTTAGTAGCTAAAACCTCAAATGCTAAAGGATATAAGCAGGTGGGATAACAAAATGTCTATTTCCACAGCACATAACAGTCTCATTTATTTCCTCATCTTGTCTATTATTTCTGCCATCTGAAGTTGCAAAAGAGCAATTCAGTTGTAAGCAAGATTCAGTCTCACTACCCATCTTCATCTGATATGCTTATCATGAAGAGCATCACAACTATCAGAAAGCAAATCTAAGTAAAGCTGATAATCTGTTCAGTGAAAAGAATATGATTTACAGAGTACAGAGCCTTGTCAATTTGCTAGTAAACAACCGCTTCAGCTAATCTAATAAGACTTCATAACAAATGATCCTATTCATTTACTAGAATATTGACTGGAGAAAACACAAGAAAAGACAATCTCTAACAAATATTCTAATAAATGCTTCAAGTCGTGAACAGATTGAGCATCTTCATTTGAAAAAAAGAAACGTGACATTGTGAACAAAACAGCATAGTTGAATTAAATTAACCAACCATGACCAACATATCAGATTTTCAGAAAGAAAAGCAAGCTTCTACCTAATACTCCAACTAGCTAATCATCTTGTATATCTTTTTTGCGTAAAGAAATGCATGCTGGAGAGCTATTATTCATAAATATAGGTATGAACCAATCACAGCCACTTGATTCTAGAAAAACATAGAGTGCTGTTCTGCCTCTAATAAACAAAGATTTGATTGGTTAGCAGTTACTTAAGCAAGTCAAGTAGTGATGCAAAGAGTGGCTGAAATCTATAATCTGATATGAAGCTCAACAAGTTTCAACAAAATTGATCTGCTAACATTAAGCTTCTACCGAAAACATATATTAATTTGGAAACCACTCACATATAAAAACGTAAAAAAGAAAATTGATGCAGAAGAAATCATATTATTTTGCCGTACAACTCTTATACTTGCTACTAAAAGTGCTAGGATAATGACTTGAAACATTGCAAAAGGTACCTGACACTGCACATCAATTCCGCTTTTCTTATATTCAACATACAAACACCTTGAAAATTGATCGATATACCTGAAAATTACCACAAAAAAAAAAAAAAAAAAAAAAAATTACAAAAAAAGTTTTTCACCACTCGGACATTGAAAAAAATAATCGTTCTACAAAAATCAAAATGAACAAAAATAAATAAATCCTTACGCTTTTGTGGCGGCATAGACAGAATACAGAGGATCAGAAGGAATTATAATGGCAGCACCAGAACCAAGATTAACAATAGCACCTTTCTTCCTCTTCAACATCCCAGCCAAAACCGCTTGAGTAACCTTAGTAGTACCTTCAACGTTAACCTTAATCAAATTATTCAACAACTCCTCATCAACCTCGTGAAAAAACCTTGCATAAGGGTATGAAATTCCGACATTGTTAATCAAAACACCAACATCCAATCCCTCAATAACCTCTTTAATTTTATTAACACCCTCATCAATATCACCACTGAAATCAACAACAACACTCTTGATCTGGGTTTTGCCATACTTAGCCATAATAGAATCCGAAACATCTTCTAGTTTATCAGGATTACGGCCAACAAGGACAAGATTAAGTCCTTTTCTAGCCAACTCAAATGCAAAACCTTTCCCGATACCATCGGTGGGTCCAGTCACAACAGCCCACGAACCGTATTTCTTCAAATTCTTAGCAGGTCTTAGAAAGGAAACATAAACCCAGTAGAGAACACTAAAAGAAAACTTGAAAAGCGAAAGAGAACCAATAGTGAACAAAACAAGAACCCAACGTGGCTGAGTTTTGAGAGTATCAAGAAAACACTGGTCCATGATTGGTATGCAAAGTGTAATCTTTGGATCTTGAAAGAAAAAAACACGAATCTAAGAAGTGGGTATTGTTGAGAAGAGATAAATAATGAGTGTTGGGAGTATTGGTAATGAATTTAGGTGAAGTTGTTGAACGGAGAAGAGTCTATGATTTAAGGATTAGGCAGAGAAGGACAGGGGAGGATGGGGAATCGAAGTTATTAATAGAGGTGGGTAAAGTAGATGAGCTGAAAACCGCCGCATTTAACTAACGATGCCAGACAATTAACTGGTCTGATTTGAACTCAAACATGCTTTCGATTTTGCTATTTGTGTTTCTCAGTTTTGATTTTATTTTTTATGTTATTTTTAATCCTTAAAACCCTGAAGTATGATTAACTAACAAAAAAGTTCCTAATGTTTCTGAAAATAACAAAATTTTATCGGTCGTTAGTATCATTACAACTTGCACTATCGAGAGTTAATAAAATTACGAAATTACCCTTATGCCATTCATTTTAACAACGAGAGAGTTTTTGTTACTTTAGGATGATCTTATTAGTCAATCATACCGCATGGGGGAAAAGGTTATTTTGCTGGTAGACTTCAGTCACTTCACAGTACCAGAACAGCTATGGACTTTAGTTCAAGGGCACACGTGTCAGGTGGTGGTGTGACAGATTTACTATATTGGGTTTGGTTTAATTGATCCATGCAATGTAATTAAGAAAAAGTGGGTCTTATTTATTTAGTACAGGTACAGTTCATTAAAAATTTCATAATTAATATCGTCAAACATTATATATCATCAATATTCAACAATACCAAGAAGTAAGTAAAAAATAAATCAAATAAAAAATCAATCTGGGATGCACCATGAAATAGACAGGAGATAGTAGTTTAGAATTTAAGAGAAAATATATGGGGCTACATTAATTAATGACTTGAAGGTAGGTGATGGTTTCTATAAACAATCCACACACTTGGAAGATAATCAACCAATGAATTAATAATGCATTTTAACAAGCCCAAAATTTATAAGAATGTTATATTATACTGCTAGATTATCACGTTTGCTTATCAAATAATATAAAATTCTTGTAATATTTTAAAACTAATAATAATTATGATTTGTTATATAGGTGCTTGATAATTTTAATTTTGGTAAAATTTTATCCCTTATTAATAAAAAATTTGGATAATAATGTCTTTATTTTGAAATTAACTTACAAGAACCTGTCATTATAATTTTATTCCTAATTAATTAAGTTTTTAGACAATAATACCCTTGTATTTAAAACAAATTGTAGGCCACTCAAGACCCCTACCGCTCGCCAGCAACCATTGTCGGCCGTTTAGCAAACTTTTATGTGTTAAGGTATTTTAACAAAATCTCAAATGTAGGCTGTTAAAAGAAATGATTCAAAAAATAATAATATATTAATATTTAAAAATAAGAGTAATTTAGTAATTTATATAATATTACTTATCAATTTATTCCTTCCAACCAAACATACCAATGTAATATACATACGAGTTTATTCCAACTTAATCAAACATGTTTTTCTAAATATTTTTAATAATCTTTAAGACAATCTATTTTTTTTGTTAGTATAATATTCCTAGTAATACAACTAAACGCACCCTAAGTGAAGAATGATAAAATGTAAAGGAGATTAAAAAAAAAAACATGGGATGACTGTGACTGTGACACTATCAAATTAATTAACTTTTTATGATTTTCCTTCGAACATAAATATACTTATAAAAGAAAGACTAAGCCTACTTTTTTTTCATATTATCTCATTGTTTGAAGATCCATGAATCTTCATTTATAGTGGAACTGGGTACTGAGTGTGGGTATTGTCAAGGAGCCACAAGTTTTTACATATTCTTAGAAGTAATCATGACCTAAGAGGAGATGAGTAAATAGCCCAATGTTATTGAAAGATAAGACGAGGAATATGTAATTATCTCCACTGAAAACAATATCAACTTTCAGTTACAGATGGATAAATTCAAGTGCTTATTACGAGATTTTTACCTACTTCCTGAAGGGGATAGGATTAGGACTATCATTCATTATGATGGTGATTGAATTTGACGGAGTCTTTTTGTTGTCCTCTATTGCGCATTCCACGAAAATATCGAAAAATCCACCGATTCAGTAACGCATCGGGGACCAGTGCATACAATAAGAACCACTGCAATGAATGAGGCCAATACGGCAAACAAAGATGATCGTAGCCGATCCATTTCATGCTTGCTTTACTATATGTTTCTGCCGACGGAATGAACAAGGAAGATCTCTTGAACTTCGTCATCTTCGTTGCAACAAATAGCGGAATCTGATATATCGCTCACACAATAAAAAATTTAATCAATTGGAGGAGCAAATTATCCTTTAATTAAATTAAATTCTTTAATTGGTTACCTGGCACTGAACATCAATTCCTTGTTTCTTGTATTCTAGATAAATGCTTCTGGAGAACATTGCAATATACCTGTTACATATGAAATGATATATTAGAAGATGTAGGTGAAGTTTCATGCATCACAGCATCAGTACAAATGGAGTTTTAGACGAAATCAAGGATGTTTGGCGTATCCAAATCCAATACGCAAGGCACAGAGAGAAATTAAGCTACTTAATATATCACTGAGTAATTCATTTTACCTAGCACAAATTAACAACAAAAAAATAGAACCATGTGTATGAATTTAAGCTCGATCCTTTGGAAAAACAGAAGTTCTAAAGGGAAGACTATTGAAACTTACGCTTTGGCGGCAGCATAAATGGAAAACAAAGGGTATGAAGGGAGACAAACGGAGGAACCGGAGCCGATATTAACTATGGCTCCCTTTTTCTTCTTCAGCATACTGGGAAGTGCAGACTTGGTTATCCAGGTTGATCCATCTATGTTCACCTTTAGAACACTGTTCATCAACTCTAAGTCAATTTCATGGAAGAATCTTGCATAAGGGAACGCAACTCCAGCGTTATTTATCAGAATTCCAACGTCTAAACCTTCAATACCGTCCTCCATCACCTCACATATCTCCTCCCCACTAGATTTTTCAAAGTCGATAACCAGACTTTTGATCTCAACTTTGTTATTATTGAATCTTTTGTGTATCTCATTTGATGTAGCTTCTAGTTTCGAAGGGTTTCGACCAACCAAGACCAGGTTAAGACCCTTTGATGCTAACTCAAAGGCAAAGGCTTTGCCGATTCCATCGGTGGAGCCAGTGATGATTGCCCATGAACCATAGTCCTTGAGATTCTTTGGGGGTCTCAAGAAAATGATCCATACCCCCCTGAAAAACCTCAGGATGGGTTTATAAAGCGATATGAAGCCTATGAGACTCACTGCTGCAACGATGAGCTCATGAAAATCCATTCCCATCATCATGCAAAATGAAAAAATTAGAAAAATAAATTAACTATGAAAACAGACTGACCACTCTGTTTGGCCTTCGATTTAGCCTTGTTCAAAGGTCATCTCTGTATAATGAGCCTATATTAACTTTCATAATTAATTTCGTTGACAGCGAAACAACCGACCAAATATATCTTATATTTAATTGCAACCATAATTTAAGAGTGACAATAAAGTTTTTTTTTTTTTTTAATTAAGTCATTGTAAATATATTATTTGTTTGTATTATTGATACAAAAAAATATAACAATTAGAGCGATTGATGTGAACGTGATTATGAATAATCAACCAAACATTTAACTGGTCGAATTTAAACTCAAACATGCTTTCGATTTTGCTGTTTGTGTTTCTCAGTTTTTCTTTTATTTTTTATGTTATTTTTAATCGCTTAAACCCCTGAAGTATGATTAAATGACAAAAAAGTTCCTAAAGTTTCTGAAAATAACAAAATTTTATCGGTCGTTAGCATATCATTACTTAATCATTAAAACTTGCACTGTCAAGAGTTAATAAAATTACCAAATTACCCTTATGCCATTCATTTTAACAACGAGAGAGTTTTTGTTACTTTAGGATGATCTTATTTTTCAATCATACCTCATGGGGGAAAAGGTAATTTTGCTGGTAGACTTCACAGTACGAGGAACAACTATGGACATTTATTCAAGGGCACACGTGTCAGGTAGTGGTGTGACAGATTTACTACATTGGGTTTGGTTTAATTGATGCCATGCAATGTAATTAAGAAACAGTGGGTCTTATTTATTTAGTAGGGGTACAATTCACTAAAAATTTATAAATAATATCGTCAAACATTATGATATCATCAATATTCAACAATATCAAAAGAAGTAAGTAAAAAATAAATAAAATAAAAAATAAATCTGGAAAGCACCATGAAATAGACAGGGGATAGTCGATTAGAATTTAAGAGAAAATAAATGGGGCTACATTAATTAATGACTTGAAGATAGGTGGTGGTTGCTATAAACAATCCACACACTAGGAATATAATCAACCCATGAATTTATATTATGCATTAAATTTAATTTTATAATATTTTATAATTTATTACTTATAGGAGGCGTTTGGATCATATAATGTTTTATTATAGGGTGATATTATATTAACGGAATAAAAGATCATCTTGAAGATTACTGAGAATATTTAAAAAAATGTGCTTGATTGGTTCGAATATATTGGTGAATAATATGTTTGGTTGGAAGGATAAATAGGTGGATATGTTATATAGATTACTAAATTGCCCTCCTTTTTAAATATTAATTTAACAACATTTTTTTTTATTATTTTTTGAATAATTTCTTTTAACCCCCTACTTTTCAAATTTAGTAAAAACACCCTAGCAACCAAAAATGTTTTAAACTTAACACAAAAACACCCCTACCCACCCCAAGCCACTGTCGGCAACCAGCCACCATCGCTGACAGTGCCACAAATCTGGCAGTGACGCTGGCAGTGACGCTGATTTGGTCGTGAAACCAAAGACCTGGTTGTTTCATGGCCAGATCAGTCGCCGTGTCACGACCACATGCTTGGCCATGAAACAGCCTAACCGACGCATGGCCGGCCATATACGACCGGTCGTATGCCATTATAGCAACTTTTGGCAACCTCCGATGGCGATCAATGGTGGCTGCCAATGGTGGTTAGTTCTAGATATAAAGACATTTATGTGAATAATGATAATAACAAGGGCAATGTCGTTCGAAAAATTTAAAAAGCGAGGACAAAAGTGTCTACATGAGTGATTGGGTGTTTTGTAAATATTAGCAACTATAAGGTTAATTTGGACCAAATGTTCAACTGTTCAGGGGCAATATGGGAAAAAAATTGTAATACCAGGGTAAGTTTTAATAACGACCCCCCTAGGTATTAAGATTACCAGAAATTTACCCCTCAAATGCTACTGTTTGTCATAAAATATTCCGGGAATAATTTTTTACAAACCAACCAAACATTGTCATCTGTTCAATTTAAAAAATATTACCCCAGTTATCTAATATTAACCCGATCCAAATGGCCCCATAGTTTTAATCTTAATACACTTTTTTTCACCCTCTTTTCTCTTGTTCTATTTTTCTAAATTCTAATTTTATATATATATAATGAGGGTGCAGGCCAATTTGCACACACCTTAACTAATCCTCTGGGATTTGAAAACTATTAGAAATCAAGAAACTATGTAAACATAGATTCTCCTTTGCTCATCAGGCCACCCAGTGGTGGTTGAAATATTTTTTTTATTCTTTGTGATATTATATTAAATTCATTTGATTTTATTAGGTTGATATTATCACAAATTCTAAGTTCACTGAACAGGTAATTTAAAAAGAAAAAAAGGAACTGTTGTGTGTGATTTTTCCACAAGCTCGGGCTACCGCAAGGATATAGCTCGATCCAAGACCAGTCTGACTCCACCAGTTGTCCTACCAACACAAGCTCGTCAACACATAGCTCGACCCAATATAAGCTAATTGCGAACAACTCGAATGATCATTCAATCAATTCCCAAATATCTTCAGATCCTCGATATTGCGGGAATGACCAAATCAACATCAATCTCTACGCGATCACATCGCCCAATCTCGAGAATATCGGAATTACAATTCAGATCAATTGTAATCTCTTTATTTTCGCTCTTTCCTTTGTACAAACCTTGTATATAAACCCCCACAAATGATGAAAAAGGGGTTACGACTTTGACATAGAATTCTCATTGTAAGCTCTCATAGCAAATACAAAAAACAGTGGACATAGGCTCAAGAGTTTACCTCGCCAAACCACTTTAAAAATTCTCATTGCCATTTATTTTATTGCACTTGATATTTGTCTAACGCTGGTTACCTATAATCACGCGCATATCCATTATGGGCCCATCAAGGTCGATCAGAATTCTCTTGTTGGTGCAGATTTCTGTATCAACATTTTGCAGCTAGAAAGAGGGCCTTAGCCAACATCACAGCAATTCTTATGAACAATCATGACAACCTACCCAATCCAAGCCCATAATGGTGCACACCAGATCGAAGACCACCACTAGAAACCTTGAGAATGTGGAAACCACCCATCAGGAGGTACAACAGGACGCCGACCACCTGTGCTGCCAACTCAGCATGTTACGAATAAACAGGAGGCAAGGACGTCAAACCCAAAAAATGGCTAGCTGGTGGAAACGATCAGAACAATGGTTGCACATGTGGTGCAACAAAACGTGGCTGAGTTGAGGAATCAACAACCACCTGCCCAGAATCTTAACTAGTCGCGCTTTATTTGCGCCACCCCAACGGGTATGAGTTCCTTAGGTGGCCAGTCCAGTCCATCGGCGCCAAGAGGCGGCCAATACCCTTGACATCGTAAGCCACACTCCGCTCATGAGCACGAGTCTCGAGGAAAAACTAACCCCGGGAGGCGGCTAGGGAAACAGCCTGTAAAACCCCTCCCTAGTCGGGTATTTCCTAAGTATCCCTTAGCCATTGAGAACCTAGAAAACGCACGCCTAGGAAAGAAATTTATTTTAAAATCCTATTCAAAGAATAAACTTGTAGTTTATAACATATATATAGATATATGTGTTTAATTTTTTTCTTAACTATAATAAGTTCATTGTATAATATAAAAAAATATAGTTTCCTTTCTTAGAGTAAATTATGAAATCCATAGTAATACTTACTAGAACATACACACTTTTACAAAATTTACTAGCAATTTGATTTCCTTTATTAACACAAACAATATATACTCCATTATAACATGGACGTATTTACTACATTATGAGATATAAACATAATTACTACACTAAAAACTAACAAAACAATTCAATAGTCATAATTAAAACATCCCTTCATACTCATAGCGTCCCTCGGAATCCTCTCCCAGCTTCATGCCTTAATCTTTACCTGCAAAACATTTTAAAACATTTCGTGGGGTGAGCGCTAATCGCTCAGTAAGGAATATAGCCATTTATAAACTATTAAGGTTCATTATACAAGTATATTACTTAGGACCCTACCTACCTACAAAACATGACTTTCATTCTTTAACATAACAAGTTCATAAAACATATCATACACTTTGGACTTTTCTCATAAACATAAGTCATAACATAACCATACATAATATAACATAGAACATATATGACTTATGAAATATTCATGTACATGGCATGCTTATTTGTTTTGTCTTTATACTTGACGGTTTCATTGGTCTTTGTTATCCGATCGGATTCATTTGAACCATTACCTTGTTCTTGGTCGTCACCTCAAAGGACTCATGGTTTCCATAAGAATTCCATTCCTCTGATCTTGGTTTATACCTCAAGAGACTCATGGAATTCATTCTTTAACATTTCATAAATTTTTCATAAGACAACTAAATAAGCTATATGCATTACCATTATGAATGCAAACATATGGACTAACATATTCCATGCTCAATCATACTATATTCTCCTACTAAACTTCTTAACTTAATTCATTCAATTTCTCATACAATACAAGGAATTTCAGTAGTAAGATTATTCAGGGGTTTATTAGAATTAGAAACAAATGGGAATTTCCATTAAGAAGGTGGATGCCATACAGTTCGTTACTTTCAAGCAATTTTTCCATTATCTTCTAATTCGAATTTATTTTTGGCTAAAACATAAACGTTTTAGGTCTGTTTCTCAACTTTTTAACACTTCAAGAATCAACTCAATCAGACTTCTATAACTTCAGTTATGACTGATTCAGTGAAGCATGTACAGTATAAGTCTTAAAACAGCCAAATCCGAATTCTATTCATTTTAACCATGTCACCTTCATTTGCACATTCATATTATTTGCCATATCATTCTAAGTATAAAAGGCCATAAAAACCTCCCTTTTTACAGAACCAAAAAGTGCCAAAACATCGTCCAACTACAAATCTCTTAATTGGCATAATCATCCTCCACATGCACACATACACCAATCAACACACCCATTTAAACAATCCATAACCAAAACATAGCATCACACTCATATTAACATAAATAAA